ATTTGTCAGACAGATAATGCATGACCCACATGTTCCCTTAAAAATTACTGCTCCCCATAAGTGACACTTAAATTGGGACGGAGGGAGTATTAAATTCCATAATTTGATATATTCCGTTCGTCTCAATAAGTATCATACTTTCCTTTTTTGACTGTTTCAACATAAGTGTCCACTTTCATTTTTCAAACAATATATTTAACATGTTTCCATATATGTTCTTTGAATTTAAAATTTCAAACTTCAATATTCAAAACTTAAAAGGGCAAGTTAGTTATTTGTCAGACAGACAATGCATGGCTCACATGTTCCCTTAAAAATTACTACTCCCCATAAGTGACACTTAAATTGTGACAGAGGGAGTATTAAATTCCATAATATGATATGTTCCTCCGTCTCAAAATAAATGTCATGCTCTACTTTTTTTACTGTCCCAAAATAAGTGTCCACTTTCCTTTTTCAAACAATATATTTCACATCTTTCCATATATGTCCTTTGAATTTAAAATTTTAAACTTCAATATTTAAAACTTAAAAAGGCAAGTTAGTTATTTGTCAGACAGACAATGCATGGCCCACATGTTCCCTTAAAAATTACTATTCCTAATAAGTGACACTTAAATTGGGATGGAGGGAGTATTAAATTCCATAATATGATATGTTCCATCATTGTTACACATTATATATAAAAGATTGAGAACACAAGAGTTGCAACTCAACACAATTTCAAATCCCTTTCTTTCCTCTCCAAAGAAATCATAAAAATGGGTTTGTTCAGCAAATGTCTTATATTGCTTGCATTGTTCACGATCCTATGGAATGGGCTTGTCTTCTCTGCTCCCCTCGATCCAACTATAGATGGTATTCATTGGCCGTATATTACAGTTATCATTTACAACAATCTCGCACAGGGAGTAAATTTAAACCTTCACTGTAAATCGAAGGACGATGATCTTGGCAATCATTTGTTGTCTTTTGGAAGCTCATTTCAATGGAAGTTCCACAATAATATTTGGAGAACTACACTTTTTTTTTGTGGTATGTCATGGGAAAATGTGGCAGGGAGTTTTGACATCTACACTGCAAAAAGGGATGAAGGTCTTTGCGAAAAGTGTGTTTGGAAAGTGAAAAAAGATGGATTGCATGGATACTATGAAGATGGTTCTGAGAGACTTTTCTTGGAGTGGCCAGGGTCAAATACCACCAATACTAGAGAATGGTGATGAGAAAAAGAAATGAAGCCCTGTACTGCTAGTACTCCAATCACTTATAAATTAGTGATATTATGTAATAATTGGAGTAATTCATTGAAATACTATCTTCAAAATGGTATACCCACATCTTCTCATTCAAATAGGTCGTGAATCCTATTTTATCAAGAAGCTATTTTGGATATTTAAAATTTTTATTCTTTTGGGATAAATCTATGTGTGATTTGTTAAACGGTATCACGGGAATAATAGGATCAAAATCATCTCTAGTGCTACAGTGCTACAACATATCTATTTCAATTGGTGAGGAGAATGTTGGGATGCATATTAGGAAATATTTGTGTAACATGTATCACTAATTCTACTCACCAGGTAGGACAAATACACGGTAACACTGGAGAGAATTTTAATCCACAGTGACTGATTTTAATCCGGAGTAAGATGGGTCAAACATGATACCACAATCCAATTAAAAGTTGCCATATGTCACAATTGCCAAATTCATTCACATCATCCTAATCACCACAAAGACTAGTAGGTTTACATATGATGTCATTGGTATTTCCCGACTTATAAAAATTCAACAAATTATCTTGTGGAGAATGATTTTTATTGGATGATGGGAACAATTTTATTTTCTATTTTTTATTTTTTATTTTTTATTTTTTTTGGTAAGTAATCAATTTTATTGTATATTGAATGTATGATGATTTTCTTTAGCTAAAAATATTAATAACATGGCCTACCTAATACCTTCTCCTACAAGACGACAACACTATCAGACGGAGGAGATAATTGCACCTGACAATTGAGACTCCATCTGGCAGCAACAGATCAAGTCACGCGGTTGCTTCAACCCTAACAAGTAAGTCAATTATTGGCATCGTTTAACGCTAAAGGGATTAGGGTTCAGGAGGGTATATAATATGGGTCAAGTGCATAAAATACCTCAAAGTATATTTTGCGTACCACTTTCAAGTTAGTTTCACCATCTATTTGAAAAGGTGTGTTAAAAACACTCCTATTCTTTTAAAATTATGTGAAAATACCCTTCAATCAGAAATCTGACATAAAATAATGTTATAATACTCATTTTGCCATTTTATTCTTCGAAAAATGCCTAATAGGGTGTGTATGCTAATAATCTCATAATATAGGGGTGTTAAATACGCATTAACTATATTTAACCTACTTTTAAAACTTTTCTCTCATTTTTTTTTAAAAATTATTTTTATATATTTCTGCTAACAGTGTATTATTTCTCTTTTTTATTTTTTTCTTTTTTTAAATAAGAAAAAAAAAAAAACTCATGTGATTTACCTTTGACCAAAGAATTAAATTTGGGAGTAAAATGCTATATTTTTTAGACAAGAATAATTTGGGAGTATATTGCATAATAGCTCATGTTTCAACATTGTTACATATATATATATATATGAGGCAAACACCAGTTGTATCTCATCAAAACTTTGTTGATGGTAGTTCATGAGTAGGATGAGGAGATCATTCCACATCTGTCTGAGATGCTGAGATCGGAGGCTGAGTGAAGCTCCAAGCTAGCACAAGGGATTCTCCATAAAGGAGATTAAGAGAGAGAAGGCAGATTTGCTTAACACCCATGGTGGCGCGAGTCCTAGGAGACCATTACTTATGGTTATAGTTAGGGTGCTGTATATGTATTTTCAGCCCCCCTTAAATGGTGAGGGTTAAGCCCTATTTATACTACTACATTTGGGTAAGGACCATTGGTTATGAGAGTTAACTTCCTCTTTATCCAATAGTCGTTTTACCTAAGTAAGGACCCTTGGTAACAAGGGTAGCTCAGTCTTTATCCAATGGTCATTCTATGAGATATATATTTAATGTATTATGTGGTCTCTATTACTAGAGCTCAGCTATTGGCTGTTAAACATTCTCTCCCCCTTGTGTAGACCTTAAAGTGAGGCGATTCCTTGGAACTCAGCCACCTAACCACTGGTACTCAAATTCCCGCAACTGAAGATAGGGAAAGAACCTTCCTCGGGGTTCCGCCTTCTCGGCCCCACGGGCTCTATCCTAGCTCTGTGTCTCGAGGTCCTTACAGTTAAAGGGAGCTCGAGAGAAAAATGCCCTAGGTTACGCCTGCAGGAAGCAACCTCGAAAAAGAGGGGGGGAGGGGCCCATCCGACTAGAGTGGGGCGCGTCCACAGAAGAAGAAGGGTAGCGACCCCTTCCTCGGCCAGTGAGTTCAGTTATAGGACGAGTAGCTCGAGAATACTGTCCTTTCAGGAGCACACCAGATAAGTACTGGTCACGTGTGCTTATTTACAGAGATGGTGCCACTCAAGCAGACGTCGTGGCACGTATATCAACAAACTTCAAAATCCCTTTCTTAATATCCTCTCCAAGAACTCACAAAGATGGGTTTGTTTAACCAATGTCCAATGTTGCTTGTTTTGTTCCCTCTGATATGGAATGGTCTTGTCTTCTCTGCTCCCATCAAATCATCCATAGGTGATTTTTTTGCTTTTTTTAATTTTTGCGTAAATCAGAAAGAGTTTACATTTTTTTTTTTTTTTTTTTGGTAATCGTGGATGTCTAAGTTAGCTTGCGCAACTCAACTAATCTCACGAGGCTTGAAGTTAATGCCCGGTAAATCCAGTAGCCCTGCAGAGACTCGAACTAGTGACCACTGGGGAGCAAACCCAAGGCCTAAGCAGCTAAGCTATCCCGTAGGGTTGAGTTTAAATTTACAACCTCCTGTAGAAGGTATAAATCTAAACATTCATTGTGAATCGAAGGACAATGATCTTAGTATTCATGTGCTTCCTTTTACAAGCTCCTTTCATTGGAAGTTCCAAGAAAATATTTGGGGAACTACAAACACTGTTCTTTTGTGGTATGTCATGGTGGAATAAGAATGTAATTTTTGACATCGATCTAATGCAGCCAGGGACTCGATTTATTGCTTCAAGTGTGATTGGACAGTACAAAAAGATGGAGTGCAAGGGTATGATGATAAAATAGGTCAGCCGAATTCTTTTTTGGGGTGGAATGAAACACTATCAGTATCAGAGGATGATGGTGTGTGAAAGAATTGAAATATGTTTGGGCTTGTATGTTTGGTTAGTCTGGGCTAACTACTCAGTTGTAATTCTCTTGCTTTTATAAAATTTATTTACCCTTCAAAAAAAAAGAATTGAAATATGTATTGCTAGTACTCCAACTCTTATAATTAGTGATATGTTATAATAATTGAAGTGTTTCTATTTTGTAGTTGCCCAAAAAAAGCTGTTCCTATTTTGTGAACTTTACTCTAAAAAACTACATAAATGGCTTTAATTCTCTCTATAGAAAATCTTCTTGTTTTTTTTTTTTTTGATGAAAGATAAAAAATCTTCTTGTTTTAGTTTCCTCTATGATGTTTTTCGAATTAAAACATTAGAAGCTTTTTATATTGGAATGAGAAACCTTCAAAATTTTAATTATTCAATCCAATCTATATTACACATATCTTGAATTCATATTTATGATATGCATCTTGAACGAGGTGGCACTTCATTTCTTATCCACGTCTCTCTCTCTCTCTCTCTCTCTCTCTCTCTCTCTATATATATATATATATATATTCTTTCCCAGATGTAGAAATTAAGTTTTCCTTTTCTTTGGGCATGGCTCCTTCATCCACCCTCCACTCCTCCAAGTTGGATAAATAGTGAAGTAGTAGAAATTTGAGTTGAGGGAAACCCTTCTCAGAGCAAACCATTTCCACTCCCTCAAAGGCATCACTCCACAACTCAGAGCAAACCATTTCCACAAGGAGAGGCGTGTTAAGTTAGGATCCTCCTTGAGTTTAGAATTACTTAAAGACAATGTGGTGAGGCTTGGAGAGAGGTGGTGTACTGCAGGTTACTTACCACCTCGGATAACACCATTTAATTCCAATGTATTAAGATGACGACACTTTACCAAAACAATTAGCTCTTCTTCTGACTTAAAGTCGTAGCCGCTTAGATAATTGACGAAGTCGGCCACCACCACGTCATCATTCCAAATACTTGCTGTCAGTTTCCTAAGATTTTTGAGGTTGGATAGGTCTTTAACATCACAACTACTTGAATCGAAATTTTCCAGGATCTCCAGCTTGCCCAACCCTGACAATCTCATCTTTTTTCCTTTTCTTTTTATTCTTTCACAAAGATATAGATGTGTCAAGCTTTTTATCTTCCATAACACATTTGGTATTCTCATACGATAATTATTCCTTAAATCTAGGGTTTGCAAGCATCTCAAGTTGCCTATAGACGATGGCAACGATTCGAGTCCTCTACAACCTTTAAAAAATAGTTCTTTTAAACTCAAATATCTCAAATGGATTAACTTTCCAATTGCTTTGGGTAACTTTCCAAGTTCCCTCACTTCAAGATGAACAACTCTCAACACCTTCAAGTCTTTCCAATGCCATGAATTTATTATCGGAATTAAAGCATTATCTCTAAATAAAAGCACCGACCGAAGGTTGTACTGAGTTGAAAGCCAATCACCATAATCCTCCTCCTTCCCCAAATGCCCATGGATGGCAACTCTGCGTACTTTAGCATTTGATGATGATGATGATGATGAAATTTTCTCAGAATCAATCACATTGAAAAAAATTTCTCCTTTACTTCTTGACTTGCTTAATTCTCGCATCATGTCGTCAAGCCTGCAATATTTTAAACTTTCATAATTGCCTATATCCATGGACGACTCTACTCCCAAGTGAACCATGTACCTTTGTGCCAATTCACTCAAGTAACGCTCTGCGACGTCCATCATTGTGTCTTCTACTTCTGTGTCACCTGACAATATCAAGTCTTCAGCTATCCACAATTCATATAATTTCTCTAATTCAATCCGAGAATCCTCCGGAAAGCTGCCTAAATAGAGAAAGCATCGCTTCAACTGAAATGGCAAGTCATCGTAACTTAAACCCAACACTTGTGATACTCCTCCATCTTCATGCCCCACACTTGTGCCCTTACTTATGTGTGAATTAATATTCCTATGCACTTTCTCCCACTCCTCCTCTGTATGTTTGATTACCAAAATACCTCCAAGCACAACAACAGCTAATGGTAGACCTCCACAATGTCTAACCATTTTGATCCCCAACTCTTCAATTTTTTTCAGAGGTCTATTGTCTGCAAAACCCAACATAGTAGTAGTTATAAAAGGGAACGACGGTCGTTCATATAGGACAATAAAATATTTAAAAAACATTGATATGCCAAACAACAAGTACCCTTTATGGAAAAACGTACACCACAACAATCAAATTTAAACTTTTAAGCTATATTAAATCCAAGAAATTATGAAAGAAAAGGAAAGAAATATATATATATATTTATATATATATATAAGAAATGTGAGAAAATTAAAGTGGAAAACTAATTAGTTGGTCATGTCTAATTTCTGCAAAAGCCAACATAGTAGTAGTAGTAGTAATTACGACAGGGAACAACTTTTTTCATACAGGACAACAAAAAAAAAAAAAAAATTTAAACTGTTAAGCTATATTAAGTCTAAGAAATTATGGTAGAAAAGGAAAGAAAAAAAATATAAAAGAAATATTTTTTTTAATAATTTTTTTGGCCAAAAATGGATTTTTATTTACCTAAAAAAGTATATATATATATATATATATACACACACATATAAAAGAAATGTGACAAAATTAAAGTGAAAAACTAGATATTAATGATGCCGCTTAAAATGTTAATGACTATCCTAAAATTATTTGAGTTTGTTTGAGAAAATCAAATTGGAATTTCAATTGTGTTTGTTCACGAAACTTGAAATAGTATACAGTAGTCATATAATTTTTAGCTCTCCAAATTCCGAATTATTTCTAAAAATTCAATTTCTAACTTTTTAGGTAGCACATTAGTTCGAGTTCTTTACATTTGTCTTGCAAGAACCTAGTCCTTTAAGAAACAATCAAGGTCATTTTTGTGGAAAATTTACTCCACAAAACTAACCACCCAATAATTAATATATATATAGAGAGAGATTTAATTTAACAACAATGCAATGATGTGGAGTGGGGGGACTAATTATATACCACTAATTACCTGATGAACCATGTGCTCTTCTAAGTGCTTTCTTTTGAAGCAGTTCCCAAGCTTCACCTTCAGTCAACAATGGTGGTTCATGGAGTAATCCATGTGGATTCACGTGTAAAGCCAATTCTTTATTACGTGTGGTGAGTAATATTTTGCTGCAGCTCCTTTTTCCAATGGGAAATGCAGATTTCAAGATGTCCCAGTCCCCCTTTTCCCAAATGTCGTCAAGAACTATCAAACATTTTTTTTCAGATAGGACTTGATGGAGCTCTCTGGTCCGCTCTGCTTCTCCCATACGGCGAATCTCGTCCTTCTTCTCAGGGATAAGTTTGATCAGGATCTCTTGCAAAACATCTTGTTTCTGGAGTTGCTGAGATATGCAAGCCCAAGCAACACCATCAAAGTGACGCTTAACATCTTTGTGATTGTACACTTTTTGAGCAAGAGTGGTCTTTCCCAAACCACCCATGCCACAAATACAAACAGTTTGATGCCAGTTGTAACTATCTTTGTCTTCATTCAACAGATATTCCACCAATTTCTTCACATCATTCTCCAAGCCTATGAAATCATCTTCAATAACACGAGAATATGTTCGCCTTAGTAGACGTTGCCTTTCGTGTGCTGAACTTGATGACCCTTGATCACCTTCCGCTATAGATCTTATACCATAAGTTTGTAAACTTGTGGAAAGTTGAGAAATTCTGACTTTAATAGCCTTGATCTCTAACCCAACATTGTGGCGATCTATAAGTTTGTTAAAGATGCAGCCATATCTTATAAAAAAATATTGGATATCACCTCCTCTTCTCTCCCTCCTAAATGATAACCTGAGGACAAAAGTTTCGATAACATCTTCAGCATCATAAGCGATGTCTTGAATCTCTATAACAAAGTTGCGCTCTGTGGCTCCTGCTTTATGCTTTGTATCTGCATCTTTTAGGAAGCATTTCATCCGGTTTAGCTCATCAACCATCTCCATGCTCAATGGAAGAACTATAGGAGCAAGCTTAATTTGTTAAATAGATGATGTGGTTGCAAAAAGTGTGTTTTATCAATCACACAGCTACCTATATATATCTGCTCCATCTCAAACATGGAACCAATGCTGGGAGGTGCCTCATTCTAAAGCAACCCATGTATGCACTTTATTCCAAATCCTAACAAAGCATTTCATGTCACTGCATGTTTCGAGGAGTACTTTATTCCAATCGACCAATATATATATATGTTATTTTAACTTTTCATACTATTCTTCCACATCTTTAATTATTCCTTTGAACGATCTTTTGGTTTCCATATTGTATTTCAATGGACTCTATGATGAATATTTCTCACATGGTTTGCTTATCTTCTTTTTCTTTTTTTTTTTGGTAAATTATTTATTATTATTTTTTTTTTAGTAAATACTTGCATGTCTCATGACTTTTGCTACAGTTAGTTTCTTGAATTTCTTTATTATTATTATTATTATAGTTGGTATTCACACACATTCTTTAAAGAGTTATTTATGAGAATTTTTTAATTATTGACTTGGAAGAAAACCAATTTTCACTAAGATAATACATTTAAGAGAACAAGTTGCTCTAAGTTGCGTACAAATAAATAAATAAATAATTGTAAAGCACGCAACTTGTAGTTTGTTTAATCTAACTTAACAGTACTCCATCCCATATTAGGTGTATATTAGAAATTTTTATGTAACATGTAATTAATAAATTGTCTTGTTTTAAAATTATCAACTTGGCATTTTAAGTTTAAAAATGTATATATTATTTATTTATATTTTTTCTAAGTAAGACTAATCCACCTATGTATATAATATTAAGTTACAAGATTTTTGAAAACTTAAAGTGATAATGAAAGGATAACATTATTTTGGGACATCCTACAACTAATTAAATACGGAGTATATTTTATATTCAATTGGATCTTTATAAGAAAATAAGGAGCTAGAGAAATTTCTCCTTCGGAGATAATCCAGATCTAGAGACCCCTCTCAAGAATTTTTTGATTCTAAAAGTAATCCCATATCCACCAAGAGAATGCAAAGTTGAAACTAAGAATATAATAAAGTAATATATTACTCACAATCATACTTTATTCTAATCTTCTTTTTTATTGAAGTTTCATAAAAACTAGAGACGAATCCGAATCTCTTCTCATGGATGGCATCCTATGCTGGCCCGTTTTGTATAGTTAGTGCAAAACGCGATACAAAAGCATGCTTGTGTTGGGCTTAAAAACCCAAGGCTTATGTGGACTTGGGTTGAGACCAGAGATATATACACACTCTTCCTTATGGATTACAACACGGGTTCTTAGCCCTCTACAGATTGCAAGACATTCCAAGGCTCCGTTTAGTTAGTTAAAAACAAAAAATTATTATTATTATTATTATAATAAATAATTAAAAACTTGGAAATTGTAAGTAAAAAAGCTTAAAATGACTGGAGGAAAAGTTATTCTCTTTGGTTGGATGAAAATTTTAAACAATGCTAATTTATAACTGAAAATTTTAAAGAAGATAGACCCCTCTTAAGAATTTTTTTTTAGTCAAAAGCTTAATTTTACAGCTCCGTTTGTTTTGATGTAAAATATTTTTTTTGAAAAATATTTTTATTTTTCAGGTAAAATATTCTTTTGTTTTTACTTTGTCGATGCTTGGCAAAGGTCTACGTCGAGGTTGATGTTGAGTCCATCGAACGGGGCACGTAAAATAACTTGCCGAAAATTGATGGATAAGTTATTTTTGTTAAATTTTAATATATTTTTTTCTTCGTAAATATTTTACGATAACCAAACACCAAAAAATAAAAAAATATATTTTGAAAAATAATTTACATTCAAACAAACGGAGCCTAAATGTAATTGGCTATCCAGATGGACGAATACGATAAAGTATTCTCTCCTAAACAATAATAGAATTCCTCAAACATAGTTAAAGTATCATTGCAAACTTGAAGCTAAGAATACAATAAAGTACGGAGCATATCACAATCGTACTTTATTCTAATCTTCTTTTTGTGAAGCCATAGTGGTTGAAGTTTTGTAAAGGGTAATCACTAAATAAGAATGTAAAATTATTGTATAAGCGATATAAAATCACATGACGCAGTGCAAAAGAAAATCTAAATTCTCCTAAAGACTCTTTTAACAACCTTTTTTGTGATTTCTATTGTAAAATGAGCAAACTTGAAACATGTTAGTATAATAATTGGAGTGTCTCTATTTCGATGCACCTTACTTAACAAAGTACAATAATGGCTTGGATTGGTCTACTAAAATCTTCTTGTGTTTGTAGTATCAGTTTAGAGATCAACTGTAGAGTATTTTTATATTGGAATGAGTTTGAATCTATCAAAATTTTTAAAAATTCAAACCAATATCTGTAAGTAAATTAAGTTGAAAGTTTTTCATTAGAGTCTCAAAGATTTGAATGAGATTCAACCAGTTGTATAATTTTCTTTGGCCCATGGTTGTTTCAAGGAAAAATTAAACCATGAGCCGAAGAAAATAACATTTCCAATCTAATATGTAGATGGACCAATTTTCTAATTCAAATCCATCAGAAATGTTAGTTTAAGGGCTTGGGTTGGGCTTAAGTTGCAAACCCAACTCAAGAAAACACCCAGACTCATGTGGACCTGGGTTGAGACCACACGCGCACACATATACATACACTAGTATATTATATAGCTAAAAATTGAACCGATTCAAATGTACACTCCTCATAGATTGCAACACGGGTTCGAGTTCGGGTTATTAGCCCCTCTACACATTGCAAGACATTTCCCAAGCTAGTTCAAAACAAAAAATAATAATTATAATAAATAAATAAAACCTTGGAAATTGAAAGTGAAAAAAGTAAAATGACTGGAGGAAAAATTATTTTCTGTGGTTAGGATGAAAATTTTAAACAATGCTAATTTATAACTGAAAATTTAAAAGAAAATAGACCCTGTTTCTTGCAAGTCTTGGGTAATATATATAGCAAATTGCTTACAATAAGAGAGAGAATTCCTGCTGCAGCCGGGAAACAACATTTTTATGTATTGATTTCGAAAAAAAAAAAGAGCAAAATCAATTACCCCCAAACATATACCATAAATATGAGTGATGAAATCTTATTGAGAAGAAGAAGAATAATGCACATGAAGATATTTATCATTTCAAATTATAGTAAAGTTACAAGGAAGAATCAGCAGTAAGAAATCATCCCAGTTAATGAAAGAAACTGTTACATACATTCACAAGGCATCATCTTTTTTCAGAGGAAGATCATAAACTGGAGATGAAATAAAATTCCTTTCTAGCTCCTTTGACTCGATCAGCATCAGCACAACTGCTCGCATTGATGGCCGATCAAAAGGAGACATACTCGTGCACATTAGAGCAATTTTTAACACAGCAATCATGTGATTGATAATACTCTCATCATTTAGATTTAATCGGCTGTCAAATATCCCAGACGTCAGTGAATGCTCTCGAACATAATTCTTCACCCACGTGACAAGATCACCTCCAAGATCTACTGGCTGCACGGGAGTTCTTCCAGTTAGCAACTCCAACAGAACAACCCCATAGCTATAAATGTCACATTTTTCTGTAACCTTCATAGTGTATGCATATTCTGTCATGAAGAGAGGAAAATCATCCGTCATAAAGGACCTATAAAGCCTAAATGCATAATTCAATCACCCACACACACAGAGACTTTACTAAATTTTACCCCTCTATCTAAATATCTAAGCAAAAGTCATATGAGTCGGATGACCAAATATATGTATTATCTGAGGGAAAAATCTCATATGGATGAACAACAAAGTCGTAAAACACATAGAAGAGAATTAAGGCCCAAATAGGTTTTTGCAAAGTAAGAAGATAACCATCCTCCCCTTGAATGGTTTCCAATTACTAGAATGGTACTTTATTTTTCTAATACACCTCACCAAATAATTTAAATAACCAATATATATTATACTCAGCACTAGAGCTAGATATAAACAGGCATCAGCTTAAATATTGTGCACTAGTGAATATGTATGAGAGCAACAAGAAAATGCCATTAAAGCTTTCAAAGAACAGACGATGCAAAATTGCACAAATCTCAGAACATCAGATTCAGAGAATGCCATTAAAGCTTCCAAAGAACAGACATGCCTCTGAGCAAGCCCCACACAAATACTGATTAAATGGCCAACATATATATATATTTTTCCTTTTTATTTATATATATATATATATATATATATATATATATATATATATATATATATTTTTTTTTTTTTTTTTTTTTTTTTTTTTTGCGGGGGTGGGGGGATAAATTACCAACACATATTTCGCTTCTAAAGAAAAAAAAAATACAATTTCAAGTCCAATATTTAACTATAAGAAATGACTTAAACCAAGCAACCAGCAGGGCAAGGAAAACTAGGTTTAGATTAGCCTGTACATGGTGCAGGTATCACCACAGAGCTTTTCCAGGCACGTCAGGTAACTACAACGGTCATTCCCAATATAAGTAATTGTTCCTATAGGGCATGATCACTGGTGCCATAGAAATTGAATGAGTCATCCATAGATTCAATGAAGAATTCCATGAGAGAATGGAAGCACGGTAGAAAATAGATGCATCGCCATGATTGATCGTAATTAAGGCAAGTATGAAAATGATGATGACCATGATTGATGGTAATTATGATTTAGTATTTCATGACCCTAGTTTATTTTCAGCTATCATTTGCAATGACGGCTGTTTTTTTTTTTTTTTTTTTTTTTTTTTTTTGGTCCTACAATATATCATTCAAATTGATAGCCTTGAACATGCAAATGACATATAAAATACAATAGACTACAGAACAATTCAATTTTCAGCATTCGGTGGGATGCATATGCATACTTTATATAAAAGAACTACATTAGTTCTCAGTAACTAGTGTACACAGCAAGTATTTAGAAAGAAAAAGAAATACAATATAAAAGTAAAGTTATGTCAGCCTGCTGTGTGTGCAAATAGCTAAAATTCGAGTTTGTATAGGATTTTGCTTCATTCTGATCTCCCTCATGCATCTAATCAAGGTATAGAATTATTAAAACCTAAAAGGCTAAAACCACTGAGCCTTTAGCTCAAGTCGTATCTCCACCTCCATATAGGAGGTTGAGGGTTCAAGTACTTGTAGGGGCACCAATGGGATGGGTGTGTTGGTCGTGTAACCTACCTACCATAAAAAAATTTTAAAAAAAAAAACTCAAATATACAATAAGAAACTCAAATTTCATCTCAGTACAAAATGTCGAATATTTGTCATGACTCAACCTAACAATTACATATGTTCTTCTAAAAGTCATTTAAGCCACAAAATGACAATTCTTGGCATAACATATAAAAAAAAGTAGGGAGAAATACCATAATACCTATTACCTACCTACCAAAATAAAAGAAATACTGGTAGATCTTGTAACAACCTAATAGAAAATCTGATCATCAAATTGTTTAAAGTGAGTGGAATTCTTCAGTTGTATTTTCCCTTCTATTGAATAATTTGTTACAACCAAAGTATTTTTCTACTTTTTCCTTTTTCTTTTGATGGTAGATAATTTGATAATATAGATGATAAATGATAAATCTAGAAACAAAAATAATTCAGTTTCAGGGGAGGAGGCAACGAGAGATCTTACCAGGGGCTATGTATCCATATGATCCTGCAACTGCAGACATTGACTTTGATTGAGGCATGTCAATCACCTTTGCCAAACCAAAATCACCAACATGAGCTTCAAAGTTTTCATCAAGTAGAATATTGTTAGACTTGATATCACGGTGAATGATCCTTGGCTTACAGTCGTGATGTAGATAAACAAGGCCCTGAGCAGCTCCAAGAGCAATCGTAAAGCGTTTTGGCCACTCCAAGCTACAAGATGACCCATGAAGCAATTCACCTAAGCTACCCCTTGGCATGTACTCATAAAGTAGCAGATTGGAGCCCTGGTGATAGCAAAAGCCATAAAGCTTCACAATGTTGCGATGCCTAATCTTTCCCATGGTTAAAATCTCAGCTCGAAAACTGCTTTCAATGTTGTTCCCCTCTCTGTTAGATGCTAGCTTCTTAACAGCAATAGTGTGTCCAGAATGCATAACTGCCTTGTAAACTGTCCCAACAGCACCTTTTCCAACAACATAGCTGTCATGAAAATTGTTTGTCGCCTCAACCAGATCTTCAAAAGTGAAACCCTCCTTAGGACGAAAATAGATATCCGAAACTGAAGACAATATCTCCTCATCTTGCAAGGAGGCAACAATCTCAACTGGACGCCTCATGAAATATAAAATAACTCCAATCAGAATAAGAGAAACTCCACCCACAGCAGCTGCGACTATTGTGATGATTTTACCCCGAGGTTCATCAACACCTTTCAAAGGTGGATCCGGACTAAAAGATGAAGTTCCACTGCAATCACCCAGAGGCCTGCCACATAGCCCTTTGTTTCCAATAAAGCTGCTGATGGCCATGTTCTGAAACAAAGGTATCGAGGGTAGAGGTCCAGAAAGATCATTATGTGAGAAGTTGCAACCCAACAAGCTTGACAGATTTTCAAAAGTGCTTGGAATTTCACCACTCAAATGATTGTTGTTGAGCAGGAGGAATTCAAGTAAAATAAGATTCCCCAACTGAGGAGGAATGCTGCCAGAAAGATTATTATTACTAAGATTCATCGCAATCTGCAAGCTTGTAAGAGCACCCAACTCAGATGGAATTTCACCAGAAAATGAGTTGCCACCCATCTGCAACTCAGTCAGATGAGATAGATTGCCCAATGCCAATGGTATATTTCCAGAAAAATTATTTTCCGAAAGCATCAGAAGCTCCAACTGTGAAAGGGTACCAAGCTCATCTGGTATAGAGTCTACAAAACTGTTCTGGCTAAGATCAAGTCGTTGAAGCATCTTGCAGTTAAGAATTTCAGGGGGAACCTGTCCAGTGAGCGAATTTGATGACATATTAAAAGTGACCAACTGCGAAAGATTTCCAATCTCCCTTGGCAATTCAGATGCAAAGTAATTGTTTGACAGATCAAGCCTCTGCAACTTTTGGCAATACCCAATTTCCGGAGGAATAGGACCAATGAACTCGTTTTGGCCCAGTTCCAGAGCAGAAAGGTTCACCAATTTGCACAACTCAGTAGGGAAACTCCCAGTTAGCCTGTTTCCATTAAGACGAAGTTGCACCAATGTTTGGCAGTTTTTGACCCCAGTTGGAATATTTCCAAACAATTTATTAGACTCCAGATTCAGAAAAATCAAGTTAGAATGCTGACAAACATGAGGAGGAATGCTTCCTGTTAGGTTGTTGTCTGAAAAGTCAACCACCCACAGTTTACTGTATAAACCGAGCCCTTGAGGAATACTACCACTCAGAGAATTGTCGAAAAGCTGTAACTGGAGCATTTCAGGTAGATACTGAAATTCAAATGGAATAGCTCCTGTGAGGTAATTGATTGAGAGGTCAAGCTTTGTCAAGTTCTTCAACCCACTAAACTCGCTTGGTATAACACCTTTAAGCTTGTTCTGGAAAAGATAGAGTAACTTTAGACCCTTTATTTGACTAAACTCAGTTGGAATCTCTCCCGTCAAATAATTCTCAGAGAAATCAATTTCTGTAGCTAAAGAAAGATTCCCAATCTCTCTTGGAATTGTTCCATTCAATTCATTCCTGTACAGGTACAACTTCTTTAGAAACTTGAGGCTCCCAATCTCCACAGGAATTCCTCCTCCAAGGTTGTTCTGGTATAAAGCAAGAGTCTGGAGATTCGTACAATTTCCAAGCTCCTTCGGGATGAAACCAGACAACTGATTGTCCCAAAGGATTAGCTCTCTTAAGCTGCCAAGCAAACCAAGCTCGTTGGGTATATTCCCTCCTAAATTATTTTGGGCCAGACCAAGATATTCCAACCTCTCACAACCACCTATTTCTGTGGGTAAGCTTCCGGAAATTGAATTCTGCCCTGCTCGAAATGTTGTCAAACTCTTGAGATTCCCAATAGAACGAGGCAATGAACCCGTTAGGTTGTTCGTGTATGCCACAAATTCAATCAGTGAAGAAATCTTTCCAAGCTCCTCTGGAATGGGACCAGAGATCTTGTTATTGCACAAATTCAACTCTGTTAAACAGGACATATTACCCACTTCGGCAGGAATTCGCCCATCAAACTTGTTATTGTTCAAATAAAGTCTTTCCAATTTCAAACAGTTCCCAATCTCTTTGGGAATAATTCCAGTAAACCCATTGTAAGAAATGTTGAGATAAGTTAGGTAGACCAAACCACCAATACTAGGGCTTAAGATCCCCGAAAGATTCATGGAACTTATATTGAGAGATGACACCACCGGATCATAACCGGATGCGCAATTCACACCCTTCCATCCACATGGTGTCTGATCACTGGAATTCCAATTACCCAGATTGTTAAAGTTATCTTGAATGCTTCGCTTCAACCCCAGAAGGTATAGCCCCTCCGAATTTAACCCCTCTGAAGTGCAAACCATTAGAGCAGCAACAACTAAAATCCCCATAAACCCCATCACAAAAACTCTCCTTGTTTCAAAAACCCCAGGCATCCTAATGAGCCTCAAGTAAATCAAAATTACACTATAAACTGACAAGTATAAGCAACTCAGATTACTATGTCAAAAATCAAATTAAGGCCCCAGCATTCACCGGCTAAGACAAAGCACTCCATAATTCCAATATCGGGTTAAAATTTCCAAAATGAACCTGAAAATTCAATCACCTGAGAAGGCCAATGCATAACTAGGGACAGTAGGGTGTGATGATTCAATGATTTGTAGGAACCTAAAGAATTAAGAGTTCAGAAATCCAAATCGGTATTTCTGAAACGAACCCATGCAGCTAGTCATTTGACCAAACAGCCTAAGGGTATTTGTTCTAGTCAAATACCAGCACAAAAGAGTTATGAATCTAGCATTTCAAAGAACCCAAAAATTCAGCTATAATGGTCCAAGGAATTCAAACACACACACAAAGGAGTGATGAATCAACAATTCAAATAACCCAATAATTCAGAAATTCCAACAGAACTTATGGGTATCACAGAAACGATCAATGCAAAACAGTGATTAATCAACCATTTGAAGGAAATTCAGTAACACAATACAAAAACCCAACAAAGAGCAAGGCTTTAACATACCTCTGAGTCCTTCACTCTAATCACTCCCACAACAAAAAGACACCCAAAACAGCAAAATCCACTACCATTCATGTGATTCCTTGAGATGATGACAAAAGCAAAAACCATGGAATTTCATGAATTAGAAAGACGATATATACAAAACCCAGGTCCAACTTTTTCCAAGAATGATGGGATCTTTCAATATTCATGCAGGATTTGTGAAGAAGAAAAAAAAAAATCAAACCCTTTTTGAGGGACAAGCCTTTTGAACCACAAAAAAGAATGAAATCAAATGCAATGAATCAGAGATCCTTTTTGGCGTTTGGTATGTGGGAAAGTTTTTCTGGGAAAGCAAAGCAAAAGAACACAAATCCCACGGTCTTGAATGGCAATGATGGTGAGGTATCTTTAGGTGAATCAAAGGGATGGGTGAGAGCTCTTCATTGAAGCTCTAATGGCCGACAAAGCATGCTTTCACTTCTTTCTAATCTTCTGTTCTGTACCTCCTCTCTCTCCCCGTATCCTCTACATAGTAAAATATTAGTTTCTCTCTCTAGTCTCTAGTTTCTCTCTTTCTCTTTTAGTGCTCAGGAAAAAAGGTTAGAGGCGAGAAAAGTTTTCTTTTCTCGAGAAGATTTGGATTTAATAAGATTGGTACAGGTTTGGTAGGCACGAAAATTTGCTTACCAGTGAAGGTTATTCTCACGATTTTTGCCAAGAAGGGACTCTCAGTATGATTTTGTGTTGTTCTGTGTTCACACTTCACACTAGTTTATAGGAGTATAAGAAATTTTGAAGTTGACCTTATAATGAATTTATTAGGGAATTTTTTACAAAATAAAATTATTAGAGAAGAAAAAAATATATTTATATTAATTCATTAGGTTAGACAAATTAGTATGCATGTATCATTTCAAATGTTATGCTAGTTGCTACCATCCTTTTTAACTTGAATCCAACTAAAATAGTTCAAAAGTTGTATTAAAGTAAATATCATTATAAGTGTTTTTTTTCTTGAATATTACATAGTATAAGTTGATATTAATAAAAGAGAATTATGTTACCTTCATTTAAAAAAAAGTGTCGTGTTTCATGACAGTTTAAGTTGTGAGAGTTATGATTCTTTAAAAGTGACACTTTTTATGAGAATAAGAGAATATATTTAAAAAAAAAAAAAATTATACCATCAAACTGTAAAAACATTTAAATCTAAATGCTCCCTTTTTCTTTTCTTTTTTGTTCTTTTTAGAAAAGTTTTAGCAACTGATATATAAATATTGAATAATTACGAGAAAATGGGCCTTTGAAGCTGTTAAAAATATGGAGTGACCATGATGATTTTATTTATTTTTTTCTTTTTCTTATTTTTTTGGGCCATATATATATATATATATATATATATATATAGAACTAAAAGATGAAGGGACACTTAAAAGGACCCATACTTTTTGGCGCCCATTATAGAGAATGGGCCCACCATATCAAATGTATGGAGCCTCAAATTGGATGATAGCTTCTTAAGCTGTCCAAGCACTTGCTTTATGTCCAAATCAATAATTCATATGCTAGTCTAGGCACTAATCAATTTCATCTTCAATTAGGAATTGGTTGGTCCAATCAGAATCAAATACTACATACTATAAAGAAATATGTACTGTAACATATATATACTCTTTTAATATATATAAAGAGAGAGAGAGAGAGAGAGGGGAATTGTGAATTGGTGGGAGCACATGTCGTGGCACGACTAGACTTTTCATTTGTGGTTGTATAAGACGGCCCACCGCGTTGGTGGTTGTACCAATGAGGATTTTTGGAGGGTTTGGCTCATTCCCACCATGGTAGGTTTTTCCATAGTAATCGGTTACACTTCACTATCAAATTGCTTCGATTAAAAATGTGAGATTTGTAAAAAGTCAGTTAATTTGTACACTTAAAATTGAAAAAAGAAAGTCTTGTTTGGCATGTGTTTTATTTTTTTTATTTTTATTTTTGAAATACTACAATGTCAATTTTGATAATAAAGGCATATTTGGTGTGGCCTTGTTTTATTTTACACAGTGCTAAAATACTTCGTGAACAGTGGTCCAAAACCAAAATACTAAAAAGTTGTTTTTTCTTATTTTGACAATTGTGCATGGCTCAAAACCATAGTAGTAGTGCAACACAGACCTGACATTTCAACAACAAAACATCGTTCTCAAATATGCTTTTGATTTTTTTCCAAAACACTCCTACAGCAAAAACACTGTTTTTGTTTTAGCCAAAATCAAAATGCCTAAAACAAAATGCATGCCAAAGAGCCCGAAATATGAGGTAAGAAGTTTTTGGATAAAAATTGAAAAAAAAATTATCAAAATGTTTGTTTGGTGGAAATGACTGGATTAAAGATCTTAACATCAAAATTGTAGGTCTTGATTAATGATTTAAAGTCACTTAATTTGCACACTTGAACTTTCTCATTATAAAGAATAAATAAATAAAAACTTTCTTCATTAACGTTATCCCCTTCCCTTTCAAAAAATTGTTATACTTCGGTTTCGTCTCTCCTCCTCTCCAAATAAATAAATAAAAATACAAAGTGGCGACCTTCATTTTTTATTTTTTTTTCTTATGTATAACTACGTTCATTACAATATATTTTCACAAACTTTTTTTTGGCTATATTTGATACAATGGAAGAGAAAATAAATGGTAAGATTAGTTAGGAGAAAAAAGAAAAGTAAGTAAAAGAGATAATATAATTAATTATTTATCATGTTTGGTTGATTAATTAAAAAAAAGAAATGAAATGATAGTAATTGTGTTTGGGGAAAGAAATGGAAAGAAAATATTACCATAAATTTACTACCATACTCTTTTTTATTGATTTTATCTTTTATAAAAAGAATGGCAAATTTGATATTAAAAAAACTAGTCTTTCATTTCCTTTCTTTTCATTTCTACCCATTTTTGGAAGGCTAAAAAAACTAACACATCTTATATAATTTGTTTCATTCGAAATTTTCCTTTCTTTTCTTTTAAAATTTCATACTAAACACAATATTTAATTTTCATCCATTACATTTACCTTTTCTTTCTTTTCTTTCCAATACCCTCCAACCAAACTTAGCCTTTGTCAATTTTATTTCATATTATTCTAACCAAAGGACCAATTGACCCGTTATATCACCCCCTTCGTTTCAAACAGGAGATTAAGGTTCCTACCTCAATGAAGGTAGGAAAAAAAAAAAATTACTCTATTTAATAATTAATTTCATGATAGGTAGGTTTTTGCTATTGCAACCATAATCTTTGGTCCAACCTAATATTTCTTTCGACTCTGAATAATGATTTTTCATTTTTTTTTCAAAATTTACCCATCGTTGTTGAATCTTGTGTTAGTTTTTTCAAAATTTACCCAACGTTTTCAAAATTTATCGAACTTAAGAAGTGAATGGACAATACTGTCCTTTAGCTTAGAATAATTAAGATCAGTAGAAGGGATAAACAAGTCTTTACAAACAACTATAGATGACCAAATTGGCAGATGAAATAAGAATAATAGCATGCCAACGTTGACGCCATGTTCAAAGCACATAGATCTAAGAAGGTAACGTACCTTTTCGTCAACCTGCGATATTATAATCTCATATATATATATATATATATATATATATAGATAGATATAGGTATGTCCGTATCTAGGTATGTACCTTAAACTTTGGGTGATGCTTTAGCCCTCCAAACCTAGAGAGCGTAGTCATTTAATTCTCGTGCGCTGCCACATACATAATAATTTTCTATGGAATTCTTAATGTGTATATAAAAATAAAGCAGTGATGCTAACATTTTTAATTGATTATAAATATCAAATACAATTAAATGGAGGATTTTATTTCTTTATTTATGTTATACTTAATCAATTAAAAAAATTGGTCTAGCAATTCATTGGTGTAAGAATTATTTTTCATAAAAATATGTTATTGAGTTATTTTAATACTTACAAGTGAATTAGATGAAGAATAAGAGTCAAGTGAATTAGATTAGAATCAAGAGCCTTGTGATCTAGTGATATTTATTTTATTTCTTTGAGTGGATGATGAGAGTTTGAATCTTTTAAATAAAAAAATGAGTGTATAAATGATGTGTATTTTTCTTGTAAGTGAATATATATATATATATATATAGATGAGGTATCTTTCATTCAATTTTCACGTGACTTTCCAAATGCTTACATATATGACAGGGGTGCACAAAAATCCGGTGAAATCGAAAATTCAAACCGGACCAGACAATTCAGTTCGGTTTATTATCAATTTGGTTTAATCACGGTTTCAAATTTGTGGAACCGTAAAAATACGATTTGGTCACGGTTTGAGATCCTTTAAAACTTAATCGGATCAAACCGAACCATTGAGTTATATATGTGTATAAAATTAAATATATAATATAATATCATTCTACAGTGGCTAAATGTTGTTGGTTTTTTGAATTATGTTATTTATTGTTGAATTAATAGTTCTAAATGTATTAGGCTATTAGCAATCCTTCGGAATGTGTTCAATAATTCACTTTAGTTACAGAAGTGACAAAGAAGAATTAAATATAGTAGCAATTTTTAATATATTAACTTATATTGTAGAAATGAATATATTAGCAGTTCTGAATGTATTGATTAATTTGGTTTATTATTGTGCATTTGGATTTTAAAATATGAATATTTTTGTAACACAAAAAAAAAAAAAAAAAAAAAAGGAGGAATCGGGAAACTGAACCGAACTGAACCGGTGTTTCACGATTTGGTTTGGTTTGACTTCTTTAGTCAAATGGTTTGGTTTGGTTCTAGATTTTTTAAAACTGTTATGAATGATTTGGTTTCAAAAAACTTTTAAATTGGTCTAAACCGAACCGAGTGCACCCCTATATGTGTAAGGATTAGCCTCAATGCATTCTATTGTTGTCAATGACATAATTTTGAGAAAATTATCACTTAGTTTTGGAAGTGAAAAAATTATCATTTATCAAAATGATAAACTCACCAAATTTGGCTCATGAACTTTATACCGAATTACTCGTCCCTAATCTAAAAGGAGTTTTATTATATTTTATTTTCTATTATTTCCTTTTCGGAAAGATAATGTCCTTCACTTCCGTGCTTGGCTAGGAAAAAGAAGAATCAAAATCTTATCTTGATAGACATCTCGAAATAAATTTGAAATGTGTATTATTACCGCTAGTTTGGAATCCAAATTATTCTAGTTTGGAATCTAATACACCCAGTCACATCCCCGAGGCCCAAACCTTACCAATTCTAGTTTATTTTTCGAAACCCAACCAACCTTACTTGACCTCATTTAAGTCCAAATCAAAAGGATAATTCTTAGGTCATTTATTATTGGAGCACTTACTACTTTGTGGTAATTGATGTGCACCAATAACAAATTTACATATTCTTTTTAATTATAAAATTGAAATATATATATATATACACACACATACATGGAGAATGAACATCAAGCCGAATGGAGTCGGCAAAAATAAAACAACACTTTTCCTTCTTCTCTTTCCCGGAAACTAAGCCCTTTTTTTTCTATAAAAAAAAAAAAATGAACCCTACATGTTTAAAACAATAAATTGATGATACCTAACAAGAAGTGCATGTTGAACCCATTATAGGCGGAAATAGTTTTCTGTACCGGAGATATTACGTCATTCGTGCCATTAACTAAATATAATTTGTTACGTAAGTAAAAATACTTTATTTTAATGAATCATATCATTATTTAATGAGTTGATGATACTATGTCATTAATATAATCAAAGCAATAAAATATTTCTCATCAATATCGTAAGCCTCTTTCAAACAGGTGGCAGCTTCTTCTCAGAGAAATATTTTATTACTCTTTCTTGTCCTCTGTCTAGTTATGATAATGTCCAATATAGAGAATATATCACAAGGACGGTGGGAGTTTTTTTTTTCTCTAAAAATTAGAATTAAAATAGATGCGTCTATTTGTCATTTGACACATCAATATCAGTTATAGGTTGGCAACGGTGAGGTTTCAAGTATTGTCGAATAAAAAAAACAAAGAGCAATATTAGCCGTTAACCAAAGAGCAATATTAGCCGTTGTTGAATAACTTGAATGTAGCACATCTTCTATTGGATCAGGGAATCCTACCACATTTAACATTGGAATTCAACCCAATCCAATAGATGAAATATCAAATCTACCAATTATAGCCTTCAATAATTCACAAACTAAGATCTGGTTGGGCAATCTATTCTTTTTCACTTCACACCCATTTTTCTGCCAAAAAAGTTGGTTTATACTCCATAACGATAAGACTCGATTACTACAGAGGAGGATGGCTTGTGAATTGCATCCCCTAATTCAAGACTCGACTCAACTCCAACTTGCCCTCACTGCAGTAATGTGTCAGATACACACACAATTCTAATCATATTCATAAAACTCAACTTCGAAAGTTTGGTTAGAACTAACACTTCAATATACCATTAAAACACCACTGGCTTAGCATGAATTTGCATTGTTTAGAGTTAGTTACATAAATCATGTTTCATCTAATTTTTCTGGCAAAGATTTGACATTGCCTATGCAACCCCTTTCTTTATTCGAGCTCTAACACGAAGTATCACAACTTCAAGAAACGTAGAAAAAAATGGCAATATTCTACGAAGAGCAATGCTATGATTGTCAACATTGCAACAAAGAGCTTGTGTAGTGTGGAGTCCACCTCTCTACACCTTATCTCTCAGTCTCTGTTGCAATGTCGTCTATTATTCGCTGTGTTACAATGTCGTCAATTAGGGCTCTTTCTTCTACCAATTTGCTGGTGGGGCAACTTGTCACTTACTCAGTGGAAAACAAAAAACTCGGAATTGACATTGTATAGACCAAACTTTCTCTAGCCATGTAAGACTATAGTTATGTTGAAACCTAAATTGCACATCTACACAGCACAGTGGGCGGTCAACGACAATGCAGGCTATAGATAAGTTTTATATGTACATGTGTATATATACATATATATATATATAGACTATATATTACTACAGGCGTCCACATCAATGTCCAGTCAATCATAACCTCCCACATGCATACACAATCCACTCCATTCACATACATTGCACATAGTACATTCTTCTTAAATTTTGCACCACATGAATTGGTCCATGCTTTCTACACTAGGTGACCATTTGTATGGTTCAATTTCACCACAGAGCATAAGAACCTTCACCAGTTAACATCACTTTTAGCAAATGTAACAACTAAACATGTACTCCCCATCTTCATATCATTAAATCTCACTCATTTCTTGGTGACAACAGGCTGTATAATGACTAGTTGAACAAGGAAAACCATCATAGTATGACGCTAGAGTTTATGGTAAAAGATAATGGAGACAGTCTGAGACTCTCAGATCAACAACTCTCATTGTCCTGTTTTAATTGTAAACTATCCAAATCACAATGATAAATCACAATACAGCTTTCTATCAATATCACGATCATTCAACTACATCATTGCCGTCCTTGCCTTAATGTCAGCCGCATTAGCCAACCAAAAAACCCAGATGTTTGGGATCACCATAGATGCCTCCTCAAACACCCTAACCAGCATCCTCTATGGGTTCCAACTATATATTACAGTCCACTATCTGTAACTGAGAGAATCAAAGAGAACAAGATGTATTTGATTCTATGCTCAAGGTTCCTACTCAACACATCTCGAATTCTTACCTTCGCTGTCATAAACAGCATGCAAATGGTGGATGTTGTTCAGCGACCAGCAAAAGGTTTAACAAATCCAGTATAAAAGCACACCCTAATATCACGAAGTGATTCCTAAGACGCTTGGAGGATGGAAGACACGCATGCTGGTTGGCAAAGAGCAGAGTTTGACTGGGAATGGTTCCAGGGAAGGGGCGTGCAGGAGCACAGGATGGTACCTCTTCAGAGTTCAGGCAGGTCGACTCGGTTCAGTTCGAGGTGCTTGTCGCTGGTCGTGGGCTTGACTATGAAGAAGGGAGTTGGCCATCCCTGCACAAACTGGTCGGGAGCTGGAGCCGTTCCCCTGACGAGGCCATGGTAGGCCGAAACCAGTCAGCATGTATCCTTGGGAGGGCAGGTCGTGGTGGCTGACCAGGGCGCTTGCGCGAGCTGAAGCAACGCCTTGGTGCCGCACGGGCCGTGCCGCTGCGCCAAATCTCTAGGCCCGTGACAAATGGTATCAGAGCAGGACTTGGGGTAAAGCACGGTAGGGTGCCCCCTTGTCGGTCCGGGAGGGGTCAGAGAATGAAGACGGTGCATTGAAGTTGCGTCGATGTGGAGGAATCAATGCAGTTGGGGGGGAGAGCCTCCATCTCCCCAGGAAGAGGCGTCCGTTGAAGTTGCGCATTGAAGGGCCGGAGGGCCGCGCGCACCAAAGTCCGTGCTTAGTCCTTGGGTGATGCAAACCATGGTGAAGGGCGAGCATCAAGTCGGCAGAAGGCCATTGCTTGCTCGGGATGTCGCGGAGGCGGCATGACGGAGAAGAGTCACGTCCTTGAGGAGTGGACGTCCCCTTGGTCCGAGGCCTATCATTGGGCGAGTGCAGTGCAGGGAGCTGCACAAGGAAGCGATGGTGGGAAGGCGAGCATACCGCATGGAGGCAGACTTTGGAAGGGAGTGGACACAGTAGTGAAGCGCCGCACTGCGACGAGGACGTCGCAGGATTTGGGTGGGGGAGAATGTCACGAAGTGATTCCTAAGACGCTTGGAGGATGGAAGACACGCATGCTGGTTGGCAAAGAGCAGAATTTGACTGGGAATGGTTCCAGGGAAGGGGCGTGCAGGAGCACAGGATGGTACCTCTTCAGAGTTCAGGCAGGTCGACTCGGTTCAGTTCGAGGTGCTTGTCGCTGGTCGTGGACTTGACTATGAAGAAGGGAGTTGGCCATCCCTGCACAAACTGGTCGGGAGCTGGAGCCGTTCCCCTGACGAGGCCATGACAGGCCGAAACCAGTCAGCATGTATCCTTGGGAGGGCAGGTCGTGGTGGCTGACCAGGGCGCTTGCGCGAGCTGAAGCAACGCCTTGGTGCCGCACGGGCCGTGCCGCTGCGCCATAAACAGCATGCAAATGTATTTGATTCTATGCTCAAGGTTCCTACTCAACACATCTCGAATTCTTACCTTCGCTGTCATAAACAGCATGCAAATGGTGGATGTTGTTCAGCGACCAGCAAAAGGTTTAACAAATCCAGTATAAAAGCACACCCTAAGCTAGCTTTGGTATTTACAGAGAAGATGATTAGAGCTTTTACAATCGTGTCACCAGGTAGCTTGAAGCTCGGAGTTGACGTTTGGCGTCTTCTGACCTGATCTGAGCAGTAAATTCAAGACCTGAAAGTTCCAATCTTTCGAAACCCCACAATAGAAAAAAAACCACAATTGCTAGGACACAATGTATAGATACTTCCAGACTTTGTATAATTTCCTAGTACCTCATGCCACAGGCTAGAACAAAGTTATATATCAATGTACATGCAAGGTTATATATAAATGTTCTTACATATAGAGTAATGATCTCTTGCTCACCGGTGAGCAAGAGATTTGTCCACGCCAAGTATGATGACACCAAGCATGATGACCGTTGGATATGATTCAAGTCTAAAAAAGTTATTTACCTAAAAAACAATAGCAATCATATCCAACAGTCATCATGCTTGATTTGGATAAATTTCGTACTCACCGGTAAGCAAGAGAACATTACAACTTACATATAAATAACCTTCAAAGAAAAGATATAGCAAAACTGTAAGATGGATTCCACAATATTTATTACCAGAAAAAGAGGCTCAGCAGAAAACATAAACAGGTTCAAAAGATTGCAGCAATACAACTACCAATTAAACTTACAATGCCATCTTTGAATTCAAGCCATTTGTTAAAGATTTCGCCATTGCTTGAAGCCTCGAACATGAACTGCATTACAGCTCAATCAAGAATCACTCAACTAGCAATCAGTGACAAGTTAGCTCCACTGAAAAACCATGATATAACCAAATCCCCTAAACAACAAAATAACCAACAACCCATTCATTTCTGCAATCCACATTAGCCAAAACTGCATCATCTCCAATCATATAAAACAGAGAAACAGTATAAATAATGGGCAAAACTAAAATCACTACTTTTTTTTTCTTTTTTTTTTTTTTTCAGTTTTCTATTCTAATGCATAACCAAACACACTAATGTCAAAATTCCCCTAGTGGATTTTGATGAAACAAAACAAATATGGTTCACTAAGCATCTAGCCCATTACAACAAACCCTAGTTTCCAACTATGCTAAAAAAAAAAGAGAAAATTTCTTAAAAATTAAAAACCTCACCACTACCCTACCCTATATCCACAGACTTCATTCACCATCATTCCTCCGAGCTGCTTCTGCTTTCTCATCTCCATTATCTTCCGGTGAGAATTTGAATGCGCGACGCTAGAGAAAGTTGGACTACTTGCAGGGCGGTACTCAGGCACAAGGCGCCCCGACTTGTAACGCACCCCACAAGCATTACACAATGTTTTTGGCCCCATTGGACCAGCCCGCCACTGGGGGGTCTTTTCAGCTTGACAATGCTGGCACCTCCTCCCAATTGTAGTGCTGCTTTGTGGCGGTAATGTCGGCAAATCTTGTTTAATGTTCTTGATGTTTGTTTTACTCCAGCGCCAGTATTGCTGCCCGGGCAAGTCTGCAAACCCTCTTCGCCGCCTTGGTCGGCGCTTGCTCCGTGCACCAACCGGATGGTGCACCGGGACTTGGACATTGCCACAGCAGCTTGTGATAGTGCTGCTGTTGCTATTGCTGTTACTGCTGCCACTGCTGTTTTCAAGGACCGACACCGGGCTCTCATGAGCCATTACAATCCCGGGGTTGTCAGAGAGAATGCCGAAACATGTCTCCACAGCAGGGAATGCCTCCTTGTCCAATATCCATGGCAGTTCTTCCTCTGCGAATTCCTGAGTTCGGAAAAAAAAATAAAAAATAAAAATAAATAAATAAATAAAAAAGACTTAATACCTACTTGTTCAATCAATAGAGTCAACTCGGCAAATCAACTCAGATGAAGCATTGCCAGAAACTATTACGAACATTTTCTTAAGAATAATGCCAACAACAACAATCAAGCCTTTTCCCAACTAGTTCGGGACAGCTACATGAATCCTATATTTCTATTCTGCATATTTATTTAGCCTCAATCAACATAAGAAAAGTTCCATTTATCCCAAAAAAAAATCCCGAAATTCACTCCAAATTTACTAGTAATTAATTGGTCCATATTTGGCGCTGAGAAATTTTTCCCTTAATTGACCAGTGCATGTGGGAAGGAGTATGAATGTGTTCATGGTGAATTATGAAGTGCTCCAAGGGGCCGACACCATCATCATCTAAAAGATAAAAAATCAAATTTGAATTACAAATGGAGTTCACTTAAAATTTGAAATACATAACAACTCTTTCTAATAAAATATAAAATTAATAGGTTCACTCGTTCAGACTACTCAACCCGGACTCTTGGTAAATCATTTACCGTTTCGTAAAAGGAACTAATTTTTTTTGGGTAAATAAAGGAACAAAATTTTAGTTATATGGGGACATTTTTCAATATGATGGGAAATCAAATTTCAGTTCACATGTTTTCACCAGCACATACTGAAATTTAATTTTCACCATACCATTGTGTAAAAGAATGTTTGGTATGGATAGAACAGTCTTTCTACTCATCACATGGTAGTTGGCACTACATGTTTACGTTAAGGGCAATTATGAAATCGATGTGTTTTCCTCTTTATTTTTTCCTTTTTTATTTCCAACTTTTAGGTACAATACAACTCAGCATTCTCGATAGGTGGACCCCAACAATAAAAGAGGCATGTAGTATTATAATGAGATATTAAATGCCAAAACAACCCTTTTGTCCCATCCATTTTGATGCACAAGCATCTAGGGTTTCAAGGGCAGAACTGTCATCACAACAATGAATTTGAGTAAGCACTCCGAGCGAGTCCTCTGACTGAGTCAAATCAACTCACATATTTATCCTTCTACGTTATACTCAAAATGCCGACGGTTGTTTCTGTTTGATTAAAAATACCAAAAATTGCCATCTCAGCGGACTCGGTCGGAGAGCCATCAAAAACGAGGGAACCAAACAAGCAACTCAGACGAAATCGTCCGAGTCAACTCAGTCCTGAACGAGTCACAACATTTAGGCCCGAAAAATGACAGAAGAGTGCCCACAGAGTCCGAGTTAACAGAGAACTCGGACCGGTTCAGGGCACGGGCCAAATGATTCGACACAAAAACATCAAAAACTTACAGGAAATGAACGGCTGTGATCATCTGGGTGTAGGCTGTTAGGGTTTGTTTCCAACGAAGAAGAAGAGGGGGCTTTGGTTTTGTCGTCGTCATCGTTTTCCTCGCCGATGTCCGACGGGTAGTTCAGAATGTCGTCTATCATCAGAGACACCGCTGGGTCAACCTCCATTTCTAGAGAGAGAAAGACAGCCGAATAACACGAAAAAGCAAAAGACTACAGATGAGCCTGCAAGGGTTTTCTTTTAGAGAGAGAAAATTCTAGAGAGAGAGAGAGAGAAATGAAGGGCTGTTTCCTCTCGCTTTCTTTTGGCTATATTATCAACATTGTCAAGGGTTTTTGGGTGGCCAACGAGGGATGTCGATTTTTTTTGGTTTTAATTAATTATTCTCTGCTTTGTCCTCCACAGTCCTTCCCTGCACCTCCATATCCAACTGCTCATATTATATCGCTATATATACCATGGACCACACTTAGTTGGGCCCCACTACCCAATTGGTGTTTAGTGGTCAGAGTGGCACACCAAGCTTTGTGTGAGCGTGATTAATGCCTTAGAATCATTTTGTTTTACTACACATGTCACTTTCTTTGTTGGGCGAAGGGTAAAATCGTCAATATATTTGAATAGTTAGGGTATTATCGTCAAATTAGGTGCTATATTATAGAGAGCGAGAGAGAGAGAGAGAGAGGCGGCCCGCCTACGCAACGGCCTGCCCTGCCCTGCCCTAACTGGACGACCACAACAAAGCTGCCCAACTTCACACGTCAACAGACGAATGAGCGATCGACACGTGGAAAATTTTATTCAAATTTTGAAAATCTTTGACTCTTCCGACACCGCACGTGGCGGCGTTGATGTTGTGATTTGGTTTTGATCCCTCTATCCGACTGGTTTGTACTTGACACCATATGAGTGGGACCCACGAATTGCATGTTAGTGGGATCCACCCACGTTTCAATAATGCCAGTAGGTGGGAGGACAAAATTGGAAAAGGAATATTTATATTACTGCACGTGTGAGTCACGTGATACAGATTGGAGTCCAGTTGGCATGTCTTAAATAATGTGTAATCTTCCTGTGATTTCATTGGAATTTTGTTTCTCAATATATCTGTAATCTGCTAATATATTGACTTTGAAAATATATATATATATATATATTGACTCATAAATTGAATTGAATTTTGTTTACTAATTATGTTTATGTATATATCTGTAATCTACTAATATATATTGACTGTTGAATTAAATTGGCAAATAATAAAAAATTTTAATGCTTTGTTTACATGTCTAAGAATTCCAAATTATAAAATACTGATATAATTATTAATATTCCGTAACAATATCTGGTCATTACGACCATTCTTATCTTTATCTTCCCATAAATGTTAGGATAAGATTTTTTTCCCAGTTAATGGTAGAACAACAAGCATAGTGACGGTAGTAATCTCATATAGGATTGCTACTGAAAAACATAAAATATGAATATTAATCCCTTTCACTACGTGTCAAACAATTTTGAGAGAACGAGAATAAATTACTTGGTTTGTAATTATGAAAATAATTTTTTACTCTATAAAAAATTGAAAATAGAAAACTGCAGAATTTTATTTCCTGTTTTTCTGAGTTTCTGAAAATTGTTTTCAGAATTACAAATAAAAATAAAAAAAAACAAAATTGTTTTTAGGGTTACAAATCAAGTAAAATTTCAAAAATAATTTTCAAAGAACAAAAATTCATAAATTTGCTTAGGTAGTATTTGCTGAAAATTGTTTTCTTAAGAAAATTGAACGTTAATCTTTTACTTATTAATGCTGGTCAATTGCTAATGCAATAAAATTTGATCTCAAATTCATGTCCGTCTGCTTGATAAAAGGTTTAGCGGTTGATCTTTATGTTTGGACAAGCACCTGAAATTGGAAAAACATCAGTTGAATTGCTATTTTTGGTGATCAAAATTTGACAAATACAACATAGCTTTGGAAACCCATTCCATATGGATGCATGGTCAACAAAAAAAAAAAACTTTTGTACAAAGTCCATTTACAATAATTAACCATTGAATCCTCTTTCCTAATTCTTTGATCTCATATACTTGAATTTATCAAGTTTTAAGTTTTAAGTTTTAAGTTTTAAGTTTTAAGTTTTAAGTTTGTCATTCCTTCATTAAACTCAATTTATGGCATTTTCATATACAGAGGCATTCTATCAAACAATTCGCAGGCAGCATCCAACACCCTTAGGTATTTGATTTGTACATGTATATTAAACCAGTTTGTTTCATTGATAAAAGTTGAAAAAAAAAAAATTTACAGGAGCAAGACTAAACCGAAGAAGACAACTATTTGAACATGCATTAGAAAACGGGGGTTTTTTTTTTTCAAAAAAAAAAAAAATCTGTGCTAAAAAAACCCTTTTTTTAAGTGGATAACAGTGTTCCATGTTTCTCACTTTGAGAACTGAAACTTCAAAACTTCAAGAACTACATTTTGGACTCTTGTATCTCAGTTTTTCAAAAACAGATCCAGAAAACTGAATTTTGGTGACTCCCAAAACAAAAAATTGTTCTAGAAGTTGCAAACAAGCAAGGCCTAATTTTTTCCACACTGTTTTCATTCAAAATTGTATGAATTATTTTTGTAAAAAATGGTATTTATATTATATTATTTTTTTAAAAAAAAAGTCTAAAAACATAAAATATGAGAGAACTTTGAAAAAAAAAAAAAAAAAAAAAAACAGTTTAATTGAATACAGGGAATGCAAATATTTTAAAGAGAAAAACAAATGAAGAAAAAAAAGTAAGAATGAAAAGAAAGATAAAATTAGAGTGATTTTAGAAAATAATAATAATAAAATTATACTAATGTGACAAATAATTTCTATACACCTTTAGAAAGCCTTGAATCCTTCGTCTTTTACTTGTTTTACAAAAAAAAAAAAAAAATCAATTGTCACATGATCAGCTCACCTTTGTTGTGCAAATCCAAGTCTAGACTTGTTTATGTCACGCGTGTCTTTTCTTAGTTATGAGTGACCAATACTCCTCCCATTCAAAGAAAGAAGATGAAAAGTTTTAAAAAATATATTATTATTATTATTAATTTTTTTTTTTTTGGTCCAAAAAAATCACATATCAGAATAATCAAATGCAACCAATCATTTAATGAAAATTCCATTCCTCTCATATATACCACTGGACAAAACATACACGGGCTAAAATACGCCTCTGTGAATATCAGTTGGTTTACAGGCCAAACAGGCCAGATGAGTGACAAGTACCAACATTTGAGTTTAGAAAAAAAAAAATTCTGATCTTCCCCCAAGACTGAAAAATAGGGGTACAACATTGTGCTCCTCTACACATTCTCTCCAACGGCAGGGAGGGGTCTCCCGATGGCATTAGCACGGGGGTAGCCCGTGTGCTCCATGAACCTGCAACACCCATGCCTCCACGACTTGCCACTGCAAGAAAAACTCATTTGTAAATTTTCACCAATTTTTTCGACATAAAGAAAGAAAACAAGAAGTTTGTTATTCACACCAAAACTGTAATGTAATCCTTCAAAGAATGACCAGAATTATTTTTAAAAGATTTGTCTGCTAACATTAGCGAGAAATAACTTTGATAAACCAAAAATACAAAAGCATGCATATATATAAGCACTGTTAGTCATATACGGAACTAGCCCAAGCTACCAAACTTGAAATAATGGTTAAGTTCCAACCATTAAACCACGGCCAGTATATATAAATTTGGATTCGTTAAAGATGAAATTCAGTTTACATTTATACCATATTGACATGGTGGCATATACTTTCTCTGTACTACATAGACTGTATAGTATATGTGAATTATCCATGTCAAACGCGACACAACACGGTATGAAATAAAATGAGTTGAGAGAATATTCTATTCTCGTTATGGTTTTCCGCAGACCACATCAAATCAAGCTCAGTTTGGAATTGTATGATAAGAACAGTAAAATTAGACAAGAATATTGTGCTCTGTATAGGTCTATACATAAACAACGTTCACTAGAACAGTGAGAAAGAAATAGGGGAGTAGTGTGAATTAAAGAAATAAATAACATGCATGAATCAAATATTGGAAGGATGCACCAGAACATCATCTCCCTTTCAAGTTCAACTAAGCACTACAAATCCAGATAAACAAATCGAAATATAAGATACCATCTTCTATTCCCAGAGAGTCACAATTCCACGAAGTTATAGGACACCACATGTTTGTAAATCAAAAAAAATAAAAAATAAATAAATAACTACATATTCTATTTATAACTCAGACCATGTTCAAATTGCTTTTTCTATTATAATAATTTTTATAATTTGCTTTAATCATTAGTCCGTAATTGAAAATCATTAATGGGACTTTTATAGCAGAAATTGGCCTCACCTTGAGATTCAACGGCTGCACCAAACAATTTCAGTCCCTTGAGATTCAGTGGTTATTGTCTACTGATAATTGGAATCGCTGCATCACAAAAGATTTATCAAGTCCAAACAACATAGGTGTAAGTACAGATTTTATAGAATGGTCTGCAAAAACTTCTAAACTAGCAACTGGATTCATATGGTATGAAAAGGAAGAACCATTTCATTTGGTCTGATGTCTAGAATTTTTAGCCAAATCAAGGTAACATTAAGCTTTGTATTAAAAGGGTAACATTAAACTTTGTATTAAATTCCCATTTGATTCGAGCACAGTAAGAGAGAATAATTGACTCGAAACCGTGATAAAAATCATATATTGGAACACTAAAACAAAGCAGGACATGATGAAATATGAACACTCGAGCAACAAAGAATCATAAAGAAATAATCATACAGAATTTGTAACTGAAAGCTATGCTACCTGGACTCGCTGGTGCCGGCCATATTGTCCGTGTCGACACGGACACGGACACAGGTTATGTGTCATTTATGCATTTACAATCATATAACTCAAGCACAAATCTCCATAGATAAAATCACTTTTTGTAATAAGGTTTACTTGCAATGGAGTGAATAGCTTATGCATACAAAGATAGAAGCTAATGCTCCGCCATGGCAACAAGATTCCCATCATGAAATACAAGAGATTCACGGGATTCTTTTCAGTACCAAAGATTGAAGCTAAGTGCTCCACCATTAACGAAGACTTGCTAGGGATTTCACCAAAACCAAATTAGATTAGGGAAAATAAACAGTAAAACCTTTGATTGTTACTATTTCAATGATTCTTACTGCTTAAAACACGGAAACAAGAAACCACAACTTCATTTTGAAGCTGTGGAAATTCTAAACAAAATGGCAATCAATTTTGTTTTCTTAAGAGTTAAAAAAACAAACATAGTTACCAAACGGCTTTTACTTCCGTTTCTCAAATTTTGAAAATGGCAACAGAAAACAAAAAACAGAAATTCAGTGTTACCAAACAGGGCCTAAGGGATCCGCAAAAGAAATAACAAAAACATCAGTATTTGATATAAATTAATAGAAATATACATACATCAAGTAATCATTGTACACACCAGAAATTCAGTGGTACTGTAAGGTGCAATCATAAAATGGTTTTTATAGTGTGACAGGAAAAATCGCTCAAGGTGGCCTCACGGGTTACAACATCTAAAACTACCCTGAAATCAAACTGTATTATCATGCATGTCTAGCGGCCCATTAACATGAACATGAAGAATAGCTATGCGTAAATTATTATGAAATCCCACAGCAGCTTGCTTAGGGAATTAGAACAAAATGTTATATTGAAGTAGAACTGAATTAAATTAGCAATCTTCCGGTAAGATGATGTAACTTAGTTTATCTATGCTTCAAATTAAAGATTAAGAAGATCTGGCAGAATCAGAGTTGCACAAAAAATAATAAATTATTCAGCTAAATGCATACATGATTAATGAAATGATATATTAGTGTTACGCAAAATCTCTAAGCATTTTGTATTGAACTCGAATTAATACGGACCAAAAAGAATTACGATCATAAAAATTCTAAAAAGAAAAAAATTGTTGATGATGTGTCAGCCACTTCAGTTAGGAAGTAGATATTCTACATCCACTCTTAATATAGTTTCAACAACAGAGGACCTTCCTCACAACATGCCACAAGCTTCTTAAGGAAAAAACTTTCTGCGCACTGCAACAATGTCAATGCACTAATGGGATTCTTAATCAAACCTTTTGACAACAAAACTTGAAGCACTGAACACCTGGGAATTATCCTCTTACCCAAGCTCAGTGACAGTAATTTTGGACGAGGGGCAATTAGGGAAGACTCCCAACCCATTGTGTTGACATAAAAATTCAGCACCGCCATTATCTTCTCTTCGGATATCATCATACATGAGGGATTTCTTGTAAAAGCCAACATTGTTTCTTCCTCAGACCAACCCCACTTCTGATAAACCTCCATCTTCCTTTTCCATGTTGATTTGCTCATCAATGCCCGAACTGCTATAACAAACTGGCTTTTTGAAGGATTGAAACCCATTTTTTTAACATCCTCCACAACCTCATTGATCTTTAAGTTGAGTGAACTAGGATAAGTAAGAAAGTACACAATATTCGAATCTGGCACGCCATGTTGTCTCAAAATTTCAATGTTGGAGAATGTAATATCATTGTGATAGCGCTCTACAATCCGAGGACATCGTTTAAAGGCCGCGATAAACTTATCATCTGAGTGAAAGAAATTTTTGAACAAATTGAAAGATGGGATGATGTGGTTCTTCAAGCTTCGTTCCAATATAAATGGGCTAGTGGATACTATCTTTGTGAGCTCAGTGCTGGAAATGCCATTGGAGTAAAAGAACTCGAGTTTGGGCAAAAGGATTTTATTGGGATCCAATAAGAGAATTCTTGGGATTTTTCTGATGAGAGCTGAGATCTGGATTTCACTGAATCCATGGTTCTTGAAGAAGTTCAGAACTGAATTTGGTTTGTCTAGGGATTTAAAATTGATGTGTTTGGAAGCTGAAATAGCAGTTTCTGAACTCAACCCACATGAATTTATAAGGTAATCGACTGTAAATGAGTGTTGGTTTGTGGAAGTTGAGATGGATTTGAGAGATGAAGACAGTGGATGGGTTTGAAGGACATGCCGTTTACGAATTGCTAAATCCAAAACAGAAGAACAATTAAAACGAACTAGCGTTTTACTGTACATATAAATCATCGGAGATGAAATGCGATAGTCACTATTAAGAGGAACTCACCTGATTGTTAATCTAAGGTGCTCTTGAACCACCATTTCACCATAGCCAATCTGCTTCTCTAGGGTCGCGACGATGAATGCAACTCAAGATAGTTTCGCAAAGTTATATATAGTCTCGTGTATTTCATGGGCCTTTATTTGTAGTGAGTTTGAGCAAAAACTGTCAATGGGCCCCCTAACCCAAGTCCATAGAGTATTTTACTGGCCTCCAACCATTTCAACTTTGCTGTTCAATCCAGTTGAAATAAGCCCAAATGTAAATCTAAATACGTAGTACCAAAAAAAGAGTCCATTATAATATATTTATGTACCACATAAAGTAATATGTATATATAATAAGAGCTGTATTACTAATAAAAATACTTTATACGGAGTAATTAACTTTTAAAATTTAACCGCACATATTGTTTGGTAGAAATCATTATATGCCTATATTGTCCTAAGATTATTGATCTGGCCAATCACTAAACCATATATAAGTAAAATGTTTAAAGTAAAATGCTATTTAAAATGACATAAAATTGACACATTTACTTATATGTTGCTTTGTGATTGTCTAAGATCAATGGTTTTAGGATTATGTAATAATTTCTCTTAATTTAGTATCTCACAAAAAAAAAATTGAATTTGAAATTTTTTTTAACCATTAATCTCAATCAATTACCATTAAATTAAACTCTTAAAAATAAATAAATAAATAATTTATACATTCTCGACACAATTATTTACATATCCCCCAATAGTAATTAGTGGCACCAAGAATATTGATTTTGAGACCTTCTAATAACTTTTAGGTCAAGGGTTTAAAATTGTGATCACTGATCAGTCTCTTTACTTCTTAGTCCCTTACTTAATCCTTATATCACATCATTACAATTTTATATTCCCGCGTCAAATTTACCTTTTCTAACTACTACTAACTAATACCTTGTCAGATTGAAATTTTCTCAACACGACTCCATCACACCTAATTTTAATCTCCCCCACCTGTACACGTGTCCGTCTTCAAAAGCCCCACTCTTAAGAAAGAAAAAAAATAAATAAATTTAGGACAAGATAGAGTGAACCCATGTCTGCCCTCCAGTCTTTCACTCAACTGGGCAACATCAAGTTTTTGCACTGTACACAAATTCCACTGCTTCCTCCTAATGGACAGAAAAAATTAGGGTTAGGGTTTTGCAGCAAGGGGTATGACTTTATGATTCAACTCTTTTTGAGGAAATAAAGTAAAAAAAAATGCAAGGGTTTGCTATTCCGACATCAATTATATCAGGATGCAAACCTCCCTTGTTGGCTTTGATACCTTGCTGTGGCGCTGTATCCAGAAGAACCATCTGCACATCATTGTCACCATGTAAGTTTCGTGTAAAACAATTTTTTATTTTTTCATGCTATTGTTTCATGTTTTTAGATTCAAGGAGCTATAAATTTCTAGTCTTGTGTTGGATACAAACCTGGATGTCTAATATTGGAGCTTCAATTCGGTGAATTACAAGTGGGATTTGGAGTTTTTGGCCCACATATCTTTGAATGCTTTGAGAATTTTCAGATAGTTAAACTTAGATAAGGTTTTTTGAATTTGAACTATCTGGGTCGAGTGATTTAGGATTAAATTGAGCATGACTTATGAGTGATTCTACTGTGTTTAGTTGCACTGTTACTGCTGTTCAACTAAAGTAGAGTTATTACGGACTTGATATTCGTCCTGTGCGATCTCAAATGCCGACGGTGGGATGCATTGAATGTGGTCTGTTTATCAGATATAAGAATTTTTCTGGGTTGAATTTGAGCCATCTGAGCTGAGAAATTTTTGAGTCAATTGAGCATGAATCAACTCCGAGAAGATCATCTGTTAAGTTATAATGGGTGTGTGAAAACATTATTGGTGTCAGTGGGTTTGCCCATGGCTGAACAGGGAGATGACTTCAAGTGGTCAGTGCAGAGCTTGGGAATTTAAAGATGAAATGATCAAATGCTTGGATGATGATAAATTATTTGATGGATAATTTTCTGCTGTTGCAATATAAGGTGTTGAATTTCCATTTAGGCTAGCTTCACTAAATATTGATAAGCAGGATACTCCATCAAGCCAACTCTAGTCTGGTAGATGGCATTAACTCACTAAAATAAGGGTTCGGTATATGCAGAATAAAAAACAGAAAATGCAATTTTGGTGCCAAATATAGACTTCCCGATGCACCCTTTCCATTCCGCATACAGTAACGATTTGCATTTCCGTTTAAATGATTCTCCCCCCTCCTCCTCTATCATTGAAGCTTGTTTCTAGAAATTTGGTTTTATCTAAATTATGTGACAGCTTGAAAGCCTATGCTGTGAAATAACTTACCAATCATGATCCATTTTTTGATATCAAATTACGTTATCAATCGTTTTATGACAATATCAAGTAACATTTCCCCATCTTATTTGCAGTAAAATGTAGGCACGTGTCAAAATTGCACTCTGTGCGCGGTACAATTAGAGCCCAGGCATCTAGCATTGGATCGGGGGGCTATGAGGAAAGAGACAAGGAAAGCACCTTCTCCAATGGTTCACCCGGTGAAAATTCATCTAAAATGTGAGTTCTTTCAGGCTGTCTTTTGTGATGCTATAAGATGATTGTATTTATTTGCCCAAGTATTAAGATGCCATTGCCATTGGTTAGTAATATAAGGACATTGATTGTGAAACTACTGTTTCACTGGATGGTAAGAAATTTTTAAGGCATCACATACTTCGTATAAACTAGTAGCAATGCAACATTTGATCCTATTAGTTCTTTCAATATACGTAAGATTTTCATTATACTAGTGGAAGCTATTAATCCTTCTGTAAATTATCATAATAATGAGGATTATCCCATGGAAATTATATGTGGGCTTGAATTGTATCATTTGAAAAGCACTCTGTTGGAAATAGTGGCCTAGTTACACACACAACACTATACTATTTGGAAGAGAATAGAAATGGAGGAAAATACTTTTTATTTCACTTTTTGGAAAATGAGTACAATGCATGGGTTTATATAGGCTTCAAAACATAAATGTAAATGAAACTTAAAACCCCACTAACATATCATTTAGTAGGCAAAACTCCCACTAACCCACTAACATGACCATTTAGTAGGCAAAACTCCCACTAACCCACTAACATGACCATTTACTAGTTGTAACTCTCATGCCCCCCACTAACTCCAATAAAAAACTCATATAAATGTAAAACACTAAATAAAATAAAGTTTAATTTCTAACACCCCCTCTTAAACTTGATTTTTTTTCAACTCCAAGCAAACTCCTAAACTTGTGAAAATCTGCAAACTTGAGGGGCTTGGTGAAAATATCCGCAACTTGATCTTGTGACTTGATGAACTTGAGCTCCACCTCCTTCTTAGTTATACATTCTCTAATGAAATGAAATCTTGTATCAATATGCTTGCTTCGTTCATGAAACACCGGATTCTTGGCCAAAGCAATTGCTGATTTGTTGTCCACAAAAATCTCCGTTGACTCTTCTTGTAGCATGTGTAATTCCTTCAACAAATTCCTCAACCAAATTACTTGACAGACACATGAAGTGGCTGCAACATATTCTGCTTCACAAGTTGAGAGGGTGACAATGGGTTGCTTCTTTGAACACCATGTAAAAGCAGTATTTCCCATGAAAAAACAATAGCCTGAAGTACTTTTTCTATCATCCAAATCTCCGGCCCAATCACTATCACAATAACCCACAAGCTTGAAATCATTAGAAAATGAATAGAATAACCCAAAATCAAGGGTACCTTTGATGTAACGAAGAATCCTCTTAGCCGCCTTGAAATGAGTTATGGTGGGTCTTTCCATAAACCGACTAACAAGCCCAACCGCAAATAATATGTCCGGCCTTGTGCATGTTAAGTATCTCAAGCTTCCAACAAGACTTTTGAAAAATGTTGGATCCACCGTTTCTCCATCTTCATCTCTTGACAATTTAATTCCAACTTCCATGGGCGTGTTCACCAATTTACAATCTTCCATCTTGAAATTCTTAAGAATTTTCTTAGCATAGCCTTCTTGGTGAATGAAAATTCCATCCTTCATTTGCTTGACCTCAATGCCAAGATAATAAGCCATGATGCCAATATCTGTCATCTCGAACTCTCGAGCCATAACCTTCTTGAAATCTTCAAACATTTTTGGATTGCTACCTGTGAAGATTAAATCATCCACATACAAGCAAACAAAAAATACATCTCCATTCTCACTTACTTTGGAGTAAAGAGCATGTTCATATGGGCACTTTGAAAAATTATTGTCTTGAAAATATTTGTCAATTCGCTTATTCCACGCTCTTGGTGCTTGCTTCAAGCCATATAAAGCCTTCTTCAATTTCAAGACTCTGTTTTCTTGCCCCTTTACAACATAGCCCATGGGTTGTTGAACATACACCTCTTCTTCAAGAAACCCATTCAAGAAAGCCGATTTCACATCCATTTGGTGGATTCTCCAATTGTTCTGGGCTGCCAAAGAAATTAACAATCTAATTGTTTCCAAACGAGCTACGGGTGCAAATACCTCATCATAGTCAATTCCAGGCTTTTGGTTGTACCCCTTGGCGACCAATCTTGCTTTATATTTTTCAACTTCACCATTTGCATTATGCTTTGCTTTATACACCCACTTGACACCAATTGCCTTTTGCTCTTTTGGAAGTGTAGCAAGCTCCCATGTGTCATTCTTCTCTATGGATTTAATTTCTTCATCCATAGCATTTCTCCATTTTTTGTCTTGTGCAGCCTCTTCAAATCCTACGGGTTCACAATCCGCAAAGAGACAAAAAAGTGTTAGATCACCTAACCTTTCCGTTACCTCATCTGTTTCGTCATATATGTCACGAAGACTCCTCATGCGAAGTGGTGGTGTGTCACTTGAACTTGATGATGATGGAGTTGATTGATCTTGAATTGATGGCGGTGGAGGTGATGTTGGTGGAGAAATGGGCTGCTCCATGCCTTCATTTTCTTGCTCCTCATCTGAAATTGAAAAAATATTATAATCTTCATTTGGAGTGTTCCAATCCCATGTGGCTCCCTCTTCGAATTCAACATCTCTACTAATGACAATCTTCCCATTGCTTGGATTGTACAACTTGTAGCCTTTGGAATTTGCATCATAGCCAATGAACACCATTTTTTCACTTTTGTTGTCTAACTTGGTCCTCCTTTCATCCGGCACGTGCACATGGGCAATGCTCCCAAAAACCCGCAAATGAGAGACACTTGGCTTTCTTCCGCTCCATGTTTCTTGTGGTGTTTTGTTTTGTACACTTCTAGTAGGACACCGATTGGACAAGTACACCGCACAATCAACCGCTTCAGCCCAAAATTCTTTAGGCATTTCCTTACTTTTCAACATGCTTCGAGCCATATTGAGAATGGTTCTGTTCTTCCTTTCTGCAATTCCATTTTGTTGGGGCGATCTCGGAACCGTTAAAGGATGGTGAATTCCATTTTCTTCACAAAATTTTTTGAAATTATTTGATGTGAATTCACCACCTCTATCGGATCGAAGAGCCTTTACATCATAGCCACTTTGTTTTTCAACAAGTGCTCTAAATTTTTTAAAAATTTCACACACCTCCGATTTTTGTTTAAGAAAATACACCCATGTTTTTCGGCTAAAATCATCAATGAATAATAAAAAATAATTATTCTTACCAAATGATGATGGAGAAATTGGACCACAAACATCCGAATGGATAAGTTGTAGTGGCGCCGTAGCTCTTGTGGTAGCTTCTTTAGGAAAACTTTTCCTTGATTGCTTTCCAACGAGACATCCTTCACATAATTGATTTGGATTGCTAATGAAAGGCAATCCCTTCACCATCTTCTTTTTGGCCAACAACTCTAATCCTCCAAAATTCAAGTGCCCAAATCTCAAGTGCCAAAGCCAAGTTAAATCATTAACACAAGCCTTCAAACATTTAGCCTCGTCGGCTTGAATATTTAGCAAAAACATCCGGTTCTTTGTCATTGGAACCTTGGCAATCAAATTACCCAATGGGTCTCTTATCGAAAGACTACAATCCTTCATGGATATATTGTAGCCTTTTTCTAAGAGTTGTCCCAAACTCAAAATATTGTTCTTCATATTAGGCACATAATAAACATTAGAGATAAATTGATGATGCCCATTTCTCAAACGAATCAATATTTTACCTTTCCCTCTTACCGGAATTTGTGATAAGTCTCCAAATGTTACCTTGCCATTTATTGATTCATCAATATCAACGAACTTCTCTTTGCTACCACACATATGATTGCTAGCACCGGTGTCAAGATACCACACATCTTCTTGATCACTCCTTTCACATTTGTATGCTAACAACAAAGTAGGCTCCACTTCTTCATCAACATAATTCGCCTTTTCTTCAACATCGTTAGCAACATTTCTACATTCCGAAGCATAATGACCATACTTTTGACAATTATAACATTGAATTTGAGACTTATCATACCTCCTTCCATATGACCTTGAGTAATTTCCTCTACCACGACCTCTTATTTGTTGTGAGTCATGGATTTTTTCTTCATTGTTGGTTGTGTGTTGACCGCTTCTTTCTCCTCTTCCACGGCCTCTTCCTCTTCCTCGGCCACGTGCATTTCCACGTCCTCGGCCCCTTTGATTTCCTCCATGTTTTTCGTCTCTTTCGTTCAACGAAAACTTTGTTTGTAGCACTTGCTCCAATGCTTCTTGTTTCTTCACCACCTTTTCTTCATGAGCTTGCAACGAACCCATGAGTTGATCAACAGTCATGGAATCCAAATCCTTTGACTCTTCAATGGCTACAACAATGTAGTTGAATTTGGAATCCAACGACCGAAGGATCTTTTCAACGACCCTTGTATCAGTCATGGTGGTTTCGCCATATCTCCTTAGTTGATTTACAATAGCCAGGACCCTCGAAATATAATCTGAAATTGATTCAGATTCCTTCATATGCAATGCTTCAAATTCACCCCGTAACGTTTGGAGGCGAACCTTCTTCACTTTATCAACTCCTTGGAAGGAATTTTGAAGAATCTCCCATAGTTGCTTTGCATTTTCTGCACTAGCAACTCTTTGTAGCATTCCATCATCCAAACATTGATGGATGGTCATCACCGCCTTTTGGTCCTTCTTTCTCATGGCTTGTAAAACATCTTTTTCGGCTTGAGACAAAGTTGCCTCATCTTCTGGCTCATCATAACCTTTGGAAACAACTTCCCACACATCTTGTGCTCCCAAAATTGCCTTCATACGGATACACCAATTTTCATAGTTATCTTTGGTGAATCGAGGCATTTGAAATGGAACCGAATTGTTTGCCATTTCTTCTCTCTCTCACAAACTAGCTCTGATACCACTTTGTTGGAAATAGTGGCCTAGTTACACACACAACACTATACTATTTGGAAGAGAATAGAAATGGAGGAAAATACTTTTTATTTCACTTTTTGGAAAATGAGTACAATGCATGGGTTTATATAGGCTTCAAAACATAAATGTAAATGAAACTTAAAACCCCACTAACATATCATTTAGTAGGCAAAACTCCCACTAACCCACTAACATGACCATTTAGTAGGCAAAACTCCCACTAACCCACTAACATGACCATTTACTAGTTGTAACTCTCATGCCCCCCACTAACTCCAATAAAAAACTCATATAAATGTAAAACACTAAATAAAATAAAGTTTAATTTCTAACACACTCTTCTTGGTATTCATAGCAATATTGGAAACATGAACAAAGAAACTTTGGGCCTTTTTTATGCATGCAAAACATCAAAGTAAGTAACACAAAACAAGTATCTTGTTAAGAATCTACTTCACAACTCCTTAAGTTACTATAACTCCATAATGATAAGGTTTGCATTTCTAAATTTGGAAAACAACAAAAAACTTGTCTTTTCAAAGATCCTTGATGTTTAGAAGTCTCTTTTTTATTTGATTTTCTTGTTGAACAAAAAAGATCCTTAATGTTAATATAACTTGTCTTTTGATTTTCAAAGATCCTTAATGTTACTATAACTTCATGTTTGTATTCTATGCATTCAAGTTTCTGATATATTCTGCTGCTGGTGTACCATAATGAGGTATCTTCTTAATTCAGTCATAACTGGTTTATCTTTCCTGATATGGCAGCGACAAGCCTCCTAATCGAATTCCTTATACTCTCTCTATAGCTGTTGTGCTATTTGGATGTGCTCTATTATATTCATTGATTGCCTTTGTTAAAGGAGGGCCTTCATCACTCTTAGAAGCAATTGCAAAGTCTGGATTTACTGCTGCATTCACATTGATTTTTGTTTCTGAAATTGGGGACAAGGTAACTAATATGCTAAAGATGAGGTTTAATTTTTCTTTGAATTTTTGAGATATAAGCTACGCAAAACTAGTTCTAATAATTTGGTTCTGTATGTTTGTGTTCCTGTACATGCGCACACGGCTGTGCTTATGTTTGTTTTCCTCTTCTTTTAGTAGTTATATTGGTTATGCTTCGAATAATGTTATTATTCCCACAATTCAGTATCTTTATCTATTTCAAATGTTTTTATTGTCAATGTATGTGATTCTGCCGCCCTAGTGTACCCAAATATAAAAATTTAAAGAAAGTAATTACTTGAAGGCTTGGAGAAATTCATTAATGCTTTATCATATTTATCTACATGCTCGTACCATTTTAAACAAATGTGAAAATATAACTACGTAACGGATTCAAATATATAGGATGTAAATCCAATTATTGGGAAATGGATGTTGCTAGAATACAGCTTGCTCCAAAAAGTTTAATCTTTAGAGAATAGTTCCACCAATATATATAAAGCTCCAACACCCTCCCCCATTGCAACTCCCTCTTGCACATGCCAAGGGAAACAGAGAACCAAGAGAGACCAAACCTAGATCAGAACAAAGTGAAAACTTGCAAACCAAATAGGTGAAGGAAATATATGTAGACTTGAACCCGGGAACTCCCAGAACCAAAGCTCCAATATCACATAAGTCTACCACTTCCCAAAAGCTTAAGTTATTAAAGAATGGATCCAGCGTTGCCTATCAAGCTTTAACAACTGTAATTGTTTGAAGATGGAGTGAGGAGTACTGTATTAGTAGCTAGTAGGCAAGTTATATACCCATACCTGATTACAGGGAGTATGTTGTATAATTTGTATTTGTACTGTACTGTATTAGTAGCTGGTGAGACTCATGAGGATTCTACTATATTTTCCTTTGAGCACAATGTGCGCATCAGTGATCCATAAGCCAATAGTATCTCATGTTTGCTCGACTTAATTTTGTTTTGCCATTTCCTGTAATGCTTAGTTCCTCATCTTCTTAAACAGATAGCCGAAAGGCTAGAGAAAGGAGACTCTTGTTTGGTTGACCACTTTGTTGGACTTTAGTCGGACACTGAGAAACATAAATCTTAAAAAAATTCAAAGAGAAATCTCTACTACAGTTTTATGTTTAAAAGGATATATGCCTCATGTATCATAAAATGGTGAGGAAGATTTGTTTAGCTTACCCCAAATACTTAGTATAGAACTTCTTTGAGTTAATTTAATTCGTATCCCCTCATTTGAAGATCATGTTGTTTTCATATTGATAATTAAATGGATTTTTTGTTCTACGTCCGGTTAATGATTCCATTCCTTTGTAAATGAAATGGTTGATGTAACTGTGATGTTGTTACCCGAATTTGGTGCTGGGTCGCGTTGTGACCTGACGACCCCATTGGATGAGCTTTGTGTGGGCAGGAAAAATTTTGACCCGTTTTTTGCTCATGGGTCGTGGACCCTAATTAGTCTCTTGTTGCCCGATATATGAGGGCGCTTAGGGTTTGCAGTGGTGGAAGAGAGAGACTCTGAAATTCGTACAGAAACAAAGTGAGGGGCTGAAAACTTGTATTGTCTGATTTTACACATAGTGAGACTTTTTCGCCGGATCTCAACCGTCGACGTAGGTTGCTGCCGAACCACGTATAAATCTTTGTGTTTTTTGTGTGGTGTGTTTACTTTTCTGTCATGATTCTTTATTTTATCTTGGGTTCATTGCGTTTGTCATAACAGTATCTGTCCCATTTTTTTATTGGATCCTCAATTATTTTTGAGAATCTGAATGTAGCTTCAATTATGTTCTCTCTGTTGAACAGACATTTTTTATTGCGGCACTCTTGGCAATGCAGTACGAGAAAGGACTGGTATTCTCCCTTCCAACCATTTCTCTCTCTCTCTCTCTCTCATGTTTGTCTATTATATGAAAACCATGGTTTTGCATATTCTATTTCTCTTTTGGTGTCTCTCATTTCATTTATTTCGCTACTTCTCATTAATGAGGTTTAGGATTATACGAATTCAAATCTTGCATGTGTAATATGGGATGGTATTACAATACACCCATTAGATAAATTGTATGGGACATCTTGCTAACACATCAGAGGATTACATCATAAACTGTCTAATTCACTACTTACAATTGAATATTGATGCTACTGCATTTGGAGAATCATTATCAAAAAGACTCACCTCAATGTGTATTTAATTCATGAAATTTAATCCCAAGGTAACTTAAAATCTATTGTGACTTAGAATCTTATCACATTTAGATTTCCTTAAACCTCATTCTATGAATGATGCTTTGCTACAGATGATCCAAAGTGCAGGAGTTCAAAATTACACCTAGATAAAGCAGAATAACAGAATTTTTTTGGATTGTTAGCCCCAAACAAGTAGAATAAAGCTTTCTCAAGTACAATTTTGCTTTATTCGTTGTTCCTTATAAGTATGTGAAGATTTTCACAGTTTGCTCTTTGCCGTTTGTTAAAGATTATGAAAGGAAATATATATATATATATATATATATATATATATATATATATATTCCTCGAGTTAGTGCCATAATCATTATGTTCTCAGTTCTGGTGGACTCAATTTTATAGTAAGTACTTTGCTCTTTGTAAACCGTCACAATATTATTTGCCACTAAAACACCTATTATAGTTTCCCTTCTTAAATTCTCTCTAGTACTTCAATATCCAGCTCGATCTTTCAATATCAAACTTTAAAACCATCAATGTTTCTAAGTGAGTTTCAATTTGTAATCACTATAGACCTTGCTGGGATTATGTTGAACTTAGAATGCTAATTGACCTAAAATTACCTGACCAGTATTACAGACAAATTATAATAATGGAGCTATCATCTTCGCTTTCCAAATTATTTTGGTTTTATATCTATAACATACTTTCTAGATTATATAGATATTAACTACCTATACAAGTTATACTTTACGCTACTCTACGGTTTGAGACTATCACTTGATGCAATCTTCAAAGCCTCACCACATAAAAGGAAAGTATCAAAGGTGAGTTTTAAGGTTGGAAACCTCATCACCGATTACTCAATGCAAGCTTCAAATGAGACATTGCATAAAATGGAAGTTTTGGGTTTTCAGTCAAGTTAAATTATAAGTATTTTGTTCAGCATTTAGAATCTTAAGGTTGCTGAAAAACCAAACATGTAATAATTATTAGGGGGCATAATTTTTCCAATGTTCCAAATCATAATTTAACAGCACATAGCAGAAATGAATCCTTATATTGACTTTATATTGACCTTGAATTTATAACAATGTTCCAAATCTTAATTTGTAACTCTTTGTAGAGCTGCATTGCTGAAATATATTTGTGTGGAGGCTTTTTGTCTACCTAATATGATACTATTAATCTACTTCACTCTGGGTACAACTTGAGTTGAAGCAATGTTGATTCTGTAACTTCTGTTGGAGATGTTGTTTCATGAAATACCGATGTGAGAAAATATGTATTGATCTTGAGTGTTTTCTGATGGTAAGTTGTTTCCTCACGGAAATCATTGATCAGGTTCTTCTGGGATCAATGGGTGCTCTATCACTAATGACAGCCCTGTCAGTCATAATAGGACAGATATTTCATTCAGTGCCTGCTCAATTTCAAACAAGTAAGTTGTAGTTGTTGGCATGTATCTTTCTCACCATATTTTCTTTGGTTGACAATGGTTTCAGTGAGTGACAGTGCAAGTATATAGGCTGTCAATCAGTATTACTAATAACATAATATTATCAGTTCATCTAATAGAAGAAATCGTAAATATGCCAATTTGTTGATTCCTGTGTTTTTTATGATAAACTGAGCATGGATTGATAAAACCTTGCCTCATTATGGGTTGGCTGCACAAATCTGTTTTCACCATTTCACTTTATCTAGAGCTTTATCTTCTCTTTAATTTTAGCTCCATCTCTTTTCTTGCTAAATTATATTTGACCTTACCCTGTCAAAGCAGTACATCTTGAACCATGTTGCTCCTAACTTGTTTAGGCATGTCTTTTTGCACGCATGACAAATTAATCTTGACGGTTTTTCTCTACTCTTGTCCTCAATGGATGCAACCACTAACTTTGCAATAATGGATTCATTGCTGTCTTTGATTGATTGTATCTTCTAAAGATTGTCAAATCAAGATGTTAAAAAGGACAATGTTGAAAATATCCAAGTAATAATTCATATTACATTGCTGAAAATGTTGCATTTAAGACTGTCAACTAGAATTAACTGAAGCTTCATCCACTCATGCAATATAAAATATGATTATTATGGCCAAAATGAACTGCTTATAATATTATTTCAATACAATAATGTTTAACATTTAATTTTATGGTGTCAGTATCTGTGTAAATGTTATTGTTTTAATTTTTCTAAATAGAATCTCTTATTCTCTATACATTAAATAGTTTCAATATCTTAATTTTTTAAATAACTGATTACATTAAATTAGTTATTAACTGAGCTCAGAAACATGGGTGGCAGCCCTCCTATGCTTATGCTTTGATTCCCTCAGATATGTCGATGAGAATTTCACACTCTTTGCTGGGAATGTGATACCCAACATTTGATGAATTTTCATTCCTGGGGGGATGGGTTTTCTTTTAAGCCTTCCAAACTTAGGAGTCGGATGGAATGGGAAATTGGAATGGATGCCAATTTGCGCTCAAGCATACAATGATCTAGGATTTAAAATCCACATCAATTTTTAAGGACTGATTTCATTTATTTAGAACAGGATATGCTGGTGCAATCCATATGTTACGCAGCTATATAACAGTCCTAGACATATCCTAAAATGACTTGTGCCCTGTTTTGAATATACTTACATGTCATATATTTAGTCCATGCACGTAGTTTTTATGCAACTGCAAAAATTGGTTACTTTTATTTTATTTTATAGATACATTCTTTGTTGGATGGTTTTCTAATACGAGGAACAGCCCCATTTAGAAGATATACGATTATAATTGTACATTTTTTTCCACAAGTAAGAAGTATAGTTGTTTCTCTTTGCTGTTGTACATGTTGTGAATTGATATGTCAACTTGAGTAGGACTATATTTGACCTGGTAATTATTTTGCTGTCACTTTATAACTAAGAAATTCTGATAATTTAGTGGTTTTGTTACAGCATTGCCAATTGGAGAGTATGCAGCAGCAACTCTTTTGATGTTCTTTGGCCTCAAATCAATTAAAGATGCGTGGGACCTTCCATCAAATGTAATAAAATCTGCTGACAAGAACTCTGAACTAGATGAATTTGTTGAAGCTGAGGAGCTTGTAAAGGAAAAGGTAGTCTTCTTATTTAGTTGCCTGCCTTTTATGAGGATTTATTCAGAATTTAATTTCTACTTTTTACAAGATATGATAGGTCACATGCATTTGTTCATTGTGCATGCATTATTCCTTTTCAGTGGTTTAAGAAGATCTCTCTCTATGTACTGTCCAAAAATTCATTATAATCTGCATCAATGTCTTCAGGTGTCAAAGCGGCTCACAAATCCACTTGAAATTGTGTGGAAATCATTTAGCCTTGTATTTTTTGCTGTAAGCACCTTTTCCTTATTTGCAGCGACTTTTATTTGTGCTCATAAGATTCTGCTTGATTTTCTATTGGTTCAACTTATTGAAAACAAAGTTCAACAAATCCACTTCAAATTGTGTGGAAATCATTTAGCCTTGTATTTTTTGCTGTAAGCACCTTTTCCTTATTTGCAGCGACTTTTATTTGTGCTCATAAGATTCTGCTTGATTTTCTATTGGTTCAACTTGTTGAAAACAAAGTTCAACAATTTTTTTTTTTAAAGCAAAAACAAAGTTCAACATTACTTCAAATACTCTAATATTATTGCAATCCAATCTGGCCCCACAGAAAGTTTTACGTCTTTAAGTGTACATTTAAATTTTAATAGAAGTATTTCTTATAGGAATGGGGAGACCGCTCGATGCTTGCTACAATTGCTCTTGGTGCCGCACAGGTACAAATTCCAATTCTTTTAACAGCAATAAGTTTCATGCTTCAAAATTTTGGCTTTACAAAGTTCATTTATTTCATCTCCTGTACTGCAGTCTCCTTGGGGTGTCGCAAGCGGAGCCATTGCTGGACATCTACTTGCAACATTGATTGCAATTATCGGAGGAGCGATTCTTGCCAAATACATTTCTGAGAAACTGGTAGGGACCAAAAACCTTTTTTCTTAGACTATTGCATTTTTAGTTTATATGCATCTCACTCACCATCATCAGCATCATCATCATCATCATCATCATCATCCTTGCCCTCATCCTGTACCAATGGGGTCGGCCACATGGATTCTCTTTTTTCACTCGTTTCTATCATAAGCCATGTCTCCTACCAGATTTAATTTTTTTAAATTATTTCTTATCACTTCATTCCATGTTTCTTCAGGACCTTTAGGTCGACCTCTTTGTTTCTTATCTTCTATGCAAATCTCTCTTCCTGTCCTCATGGGAGCATCTATAGGCCGGTGTTGGATATGCCTTTACCATCTAAGTCTTTCTTATTTTATTGCCAATAGGCGCCACACCTAATTTCTCCCTAATCCTTTGATTATTAATATTATCTTTCCTAGTTTTTCCTAACATCCACATTTCCGCCACTTCTTATCTTTCCTAGTTTATATGCATCTCACTCTTGTTCACAAATCAGGTTGGCTACGTTGGTGGAGCTCTGTTTCTTGTTTTTGCCGTGGCCACTTTTTTCGGGGTTTTTTAATGATATCTAAGGAGTCAATAATTAAAGAAAAAGAAAGAAATCTCAGAGCAGCAACGGACAGAACACTGCCTAAACTGGAAAGCAAAGCCGGTTGATTATTACAAAAGAATGTAGAGAAGGGGCCCGAGCTCTCTAGTAGATCCTGCTGCAGGAACCCTCTTCATTCTTTATGGACCCATATGAATCATCCTGTAAAAATGGTAGAGCTGTTTAACGATTAACATTAGAGAACCCCATCCTCTGTTGAAATAATATGGTGCAGTATGTTCTCAGGGACCGCAGAACAACGGATTCCGACACCAGGTTGCCCCAGCCTTTCACTTTTAACTCTTAGGTTTTGACATGCGAGACTTGATAAACAGCTGATGAATTTCTGAAATTGAATTTGACAATATCTTGATATATTTGTTAGCACATTGAGAAGTGTAATGTTTTGATGAGGCGTAGAGGAATTGGCTATTTTTAAAGACCTTATGCCACTTGAAGTGCTTTTTTACTGATTACATATTATCTTTATGGCCTCTCCAATGTTTTGGAATTCCATCTCCAGTTCATCGAAACAGGTGCTAATTAGAAAAGAACTGATGTGTTTTACTCTCAATTCCACCATTTCATGCATCTTTGATAACTGTTATTTTCGTGTGTTGGGAGGTTTCAAAATCAACTTGAATACTGTGAACACAAAAAGTTTTGCAAAGCGGATAGTATTTACACAGTCTAAGCGGGTCATAACAACAACTCTTTTCAGGGATCGAAATCTAATATATTCTCGTACAACTAAACCAAATAAGCCCTAAACTTCGTTCGGTTCAAGTCATCTCTTCAAACTATGTATACCGAATAATCCCTTAACTTCTGTTCAGTTCTGTCATCTCTTCTTGCTATGTACACTAAAGACTACTCATGTTTCAAAATTCAATCAGAGTCATGCCAAACTGTTGTAGCAAATAGGCAGTACTACAAATAGTGCCAATACTTTTTAGTATTGCAAATTCTTATAGGTTAACAGCGCCAAGGGTTCATTTTCTTACACGAAACAACATTCCAAGATGCAAAATTTTCAAGGACAGGCACCACAGATGCAACCATAATATGTTTCTTCCGTTATGATGACGAAAATATCATGAAGACAGCACTATGTTTTCCCGAAAGATGGAAAGTAAAAAGATTTTCAATAATTTACAACCTCAACTACAATGAGCTAAAAATATATCAATTGTTTGTCTATAAATGAATAAACTGAATAAAAGTCAATATGTAACAACATTTTCAAAAATGCGACAGTTAGAGAGGAACCTGTAGGCTTGCTGAAGATAAAACGTTCTTTTTCTTTCTTTCTTTCTTCTTCTTTTTTTTTTTTCATCTTTTATTTTTCTTTCTATATTTTGGTTTTGGAGGAGAGATCACTCAACTACACATTGATGAGACCGAAACGTTCCATTTGAAAGTAGTTGAACAATAAGCTTTTCAAGCCTTCTAGCTCCTGGACCAGGCCTCAAAATATCAGCATCTCCCCAAGTAGAACATGTGTCATTACCACGTTTGCCTAAACACCACCCACCAGGCACGGGTTTGCCAGGACGGCGGCGCAAAATTTTTCGATCAATGCGGTCAAGAATTCGATCATCTGGTAGAAATGGTGTGGCAAATGCCGCCCCACTCTGAATGAGATCATCAAAATCATTGATATTGAGAGGCCGGAGCTCCTTCTTGGCGTCAAATGAAGCATACTGCAATCCATGGTTTATCGTAGTTCTCTTGAACTGATGAGAATTACATAGAATGCTCGGGAAGTAAACTGAGAGAGCTGAAGGCATGTTAGCTAAGTACAGGAGTAGAGTCCTTGGTAGGTTGTCTGTACCCAAGATGCAGAACTCGATAAACTTGCGACTCAAAATAGCTGACGGTGAACCTGCATCCAAAAGGATATGTTATTTATTGTCAGTTCTTCCACTCGATTTTGTAGCTAATGCCTAAAGAGAAGTCAAAAAATGGATTTTTCCCTCAATATACCAAGGCAGCATAAAAGATTCTTAATTTTTTTGTCAATCCGGAATCACAATTGGGGTAGCATATTTTTTTAAGGTTTCAGCTCTTTTTACCTAACTGAAGCCTCCAAAATACATCTAAAGAAAGGATCCAATATCTAAGGGAGTGAACCAGATAATAGCCGCTAAAGCAAAAAAAAAAATACTGCCAAAGGACACACAAGACATAACAGCGAATGTAGAAATGATCGAAGGTTTAGTTGCTTCTTTTCTGAGAAAGGGAAAGCATCACATTGGTATTAACTTTTGACGAGTAACAGCCCAATCAAAACTTAAATTTAGGAGGATCATTGACCATACAAAATGTGACCGGCCATAGGAAGCAAAGGAAGGATTTAGCAGAAAAGAAGCCTTTCAGATTCAGGCACCAATTGACCAACATCTCTTTATCTTACTAGAAGAGGAAAGATATGGATCTTCAAGAAGCAAAGGAGAAAGGAACTCCGTAGTATTACAATTACTGAAATTCTAAAGATCATCGTGTGTTCTTTAAAGCATGCTATACGTTGACTGAGTTGAAGGGAGTACAACACTGTATGAGAATTGTCTCTGGTAGTCTTGAAGTATAGGATTCAGAGACATAGGGATACACCTAGATAATATGATATAGCACATATATCTCGTTGACAATAAAGGAATAGTACAGCTATTAAGGCTCCATGCCTTGATTAAAAATTGATCCATCCAAGAACATTTTCTATTTTCAATCATTTACGAACTTCTTTTACTTCTCATACCCAAATTTTGTGGGGAGTTAGAGAAGTGTAATTTCATCCTCGCTAAAGTAATCGTACTTTTCAATCCCCTATTTGGTTTGTGTTAAGTAGTGCTTCCACTTTATACTTGTCACATCCTCCTCTTATAGTCACCTTTGATGAACTTAGCATGAATCAAATCACTACTTCTTTCTCTTATCTAGTAAGTTATTATATCGTTTCTTTCCATCTTTTTTTGTACCAAATGTATAGTATAAATCAAATTTTAAGTCATTCATTTTATCAGATAATTGCATATCTCACACTAAAAAAAATGTCTTGGTTCCACGGTTCCACCAAGTAAAAACCTACAGGATGCAATGCACAATGAATAGGTTATGCTACCCAGAAAGAAACATTTGAATGATCAATGATGATAGCTTTTCAGGGAAATATGTCCACAACACAATTAATAGTGTTCGAGTGTTCACAAAAATTTGTGTCCTTAAAGCCTTTCTATCTGTAATTGTGGATCAGCTTCATAACTATTAACTGTTCTCGTGATTAAAACAAAAAAAAAAAACATGCATTCGCTACTTGAACTAACATATATGTATCAGCATTGAATTAAATATGCAAAACAAGATATATACTATGAGAACTTGACCACTGATTAATGGAAATACAAAAAAAACTCACCAGTAAACAACCGGTAAGCATTTGGCAGTTTTCGCTTCTCAGTAACATAAAAGGTCTCATCTTCTTCCAAAAGGAAAAATCCAGGATCAACAATTATCGATTTCAACCTCCTCGATCTACAAAACCACATGCATTCACATCTCTAAATTTACAAACAACATCCATCAAATTGTTTTAACCATAAATGTGTAGTTGTGAGTATTTCTATGAATAACAAATTAAGGAAGCCAATGTTCATACTCTCTATAGCCAATGTAACTTGTGTGATTCACAAATGTAAGATCTTTAGGCAGATACGACAAAATGTGAAGAAGATCTGAAAACCCACAAAAACCATTATCAGTAAATCACTACAAAATCAAGGATTCAACAAAATTCAGATCAAAACATAGAATTCCAATGCCACCCACAAAACCAAATATCAGTAAATCAGTGCAAAAACAAATTCAGATCAAAACATAGAATTCCAATGCCACCCACAAAAACCATCAGTAAATCAGTGCAAAATCAAGAATTCAACCCAATTCAGATCACAGCATATAATTGAATGGCAATTAACATATATATATATGTGTGTGTGTGTGTGTGTGTGTGCATCTCTATAATATATATACACACATTACATACCATCTTGATTAACCAAAGGATAATCAGCAGCAGAAAGATTGATGAACCAATCCCAATGGGTGGAAATCCTAAGTAGAATCGAAGCACCATGTAATGTTGATGAAATGGAACCCGACCCTTTTGGGTATGCGAAATCGGCCTTGCCAATGACATCAACGTTCCGAGCAGCTCTGAAAACGGGTATGGAGCGGACAGTGAGGGCGAGAAGCTGACGGTCTCTTTGTGGAGCAGAGAGGTCGAGGTGGAGGAGGTACTGATTTCTTGGGTGGTAGATGGCGAAGAGTAGGCGGAGGATCCGACCCGAGTCATTGGCGGATCCAGATATGAGATAGGCTATGGAAGGAGGTGTGGGTGGTGATGGGTCAATTGGGTTTTTTGGGTTGTGGAAGAAGAGGTGGTGGTCGTGGCGGGTGTTTCGGGTCCGGCGGTTTGGGAAAAGGAATGGGTCGGATGAGGGTGGGAGTGGTGGTGGTTGGGAGGTGATGGAGAGAGAGAGAATGAAGAGGAGAGAGAAGAGGGAGGTGGCTATTAGACAGTAGAGTATTGTAGTTCTGTTATCTTTGGTGGTGGTGGTGGTGGTGGGTGGTGTTTGGGTTGAGTTTTGCATATTGTTTTTAGTTTGTTTGGTGGTTTGATGGGTTCGTTTGTTCTTTTGCTTGTCTGATATGTGTTTTTCACTCCTTTGATTATGGTAGCCGTTTAGATATCACTATAGTTGGGTTTCTCTCACTTTGTCAATGTTTGGATCTCACCGTCACTACATACATGCCACATGTTTTAGTCCTAGTATATATTTACAGAGCTCGATTTCTCTCCCCTGACACAGGATGTTCAGTGAGACCGCAACGTGTAACAATTTTCATCGGCTAGTAAGAATTTTAAATCATTTATACAATAACTAGTCAATAACTTTATATCATATGTTTTATATATATATATATTTCCTGATATGTTTTATAATTGATGTATTGTGTTAAAGTAAGCGACACACACATGCAATATCAATGTATTATGTTGAATGATTTTGATTCATACAGAAAAGTGCATATTTGTACACATTAGTGATGTTTTTAGAAATTATGTTAAAGGGGCAGAATGTAATAAATTTTTTGAGGCAGGACAGTTTTAAAAAAATTTTAAATTATAAAGTTGAGTGGCGGGAAATTTTAAAATTTTAAAGAATTATGCATGCAAAAATAAAAAAATTTAAAATTGAGAGGGCCAATTTTAAAACTTTAAAGAATATTATATATATAAATGAATACAATTTAAGTTGAGGGGAGGCAATTTTAAAATTTAAAAAATTATGAATATAAAAAATATAATTCTTAAAAGCTTTAACGGGCCCGTCCTTGGCTGTAAGTATATTAGGTAAACAAGCAAAATTTTGCTGAATTTGGAAGATAACTTGATGGGAAGGAAAAGTACGCACCAAACTAAAAGGAAGAAAGCTGGCCTATATAAAAAAAACAAGTACCAACACGTGACATGTTGTTCATTTAGGATCAACCATAAAACTTCAATTTTATAGGCTGATATTGTTAATGCTCTATTTTCGGGAAGATCAAGCTGAGATTCCAAATTTTTAGTCTCTCTAGGGGTTAAACTTCATGTTTCTTCTATGATTCATGATCTGGTATTCCGATAAACCTATATATATATATATATCTGTGTGTCTGTATATATATATATATATATATATATATATATATATATATACACATTCCTTAGACAAATAAAGGGAACTTCGTGCACTAGACTAGCATTTTACTTTATAAATGTTGCTTCAGCTTTCATGTTATTGAAGAATCTGATTCGCAGCGCAGACTCAACCAAAAGATCCTTAATATATATAATCACCAAATTTTAGCAGAACACTCGATGACAAATGATTTGGAGGGTATCATACAAGTACGTATATCTATATACAGCCACATTTGACATAAAGACACTACAAACCAAGGCCACACAGTCACAGACTCACACAACACAAGTTACAACCCACATTAATTCCTCACTCACCAGAGCAATCTCAGTAGTTTAAGTGGACAGTGATCCTCAGCAACGTCTCTGCACCATCAGTGACATGCTGACCAGGTGCTATGAGCGCGCGCACCTCTGCAAATCCACAAGCATTCTTAAACTTGCCAGTCCCTCCGGTCACTGAGAGGCGCGACATGGCACTCCCAATCTTGAACACTCCAAAGAAGTTCAGACTATCACCATATTCCCCTCCCTCCATCACAGCCGTGAATGCCATCATCTGCATCGTCCCACCTCCAGAGCTCGCGACATAGACCCCTTGGGCTTTCCCCAATGTCTGTGACCCCAAGTCCGGAGCAGAGGTCAGCACATCATCAATGACAGTGATTGTCCCAAATCCTAGTCCCAAACCGTCTGGTCCCAATTGGGTGGCCGCCGCGTTGTTGCCATTATTGTTGGAATTCCCTGCAAAAGTCGTGCCGGCCAAGCCAGTTCCCAATGGGATGCCATTGGCATTAATGGTTGGGGTGGCACCATTGGCATTGGGGATGGCTACCCCGCCTTGTAGGGGAAGGAAGCCAATCGGCCTAGCGAAGGGCACTTGGCCACTGTAGATGTTGCCTAGCAAGCCGGTGATCGGCCTAGCTGTAGGACTACTGCCCCCAAGTATGTCATGCATGAATAGCTCGAAAATTGGGTCTTTTCCCAGTGTTAGTGTAGCATCAACAGCTGCCACAATTGTTGTCACATGCAGAGCAACCACAAGCATTGCAAGCAAGAGTGATGATAATTGCTTGCACATATTGAGATGTGTGTGTGTGAAATTGGTGAGTATGATAACGTGCTCTTTATATAGTATGCAAATGCTAAGATGGAGTTGTTATGAGAATCAAAGGTTGTGAAGTTATTGGCAGTGAGATCATGAAGATTGATGGTATCATCACAGCCACCCCTTATTTGTCTCTCTCTTTTGTTTTTTAGGGCAACTATATAATTAGTATATAGTAGTGGAAATGGTGGATGTCCTCAGTGTATAGGGTACAACAGAACCATAAATAAAAAATAAAAATAAAATATGACATAAGAGCGTGGGTTCTAGAGTTATAAAAAAAAATGGTAAGATCCTGCTTAAAGAAATATTAAAAAAATATTTGTTTTTTTTTAAAAAAAAATCTTTTTAGTGATCATCTTAATTTTTTAATTTTTATTTTGTTTCAATTCTTCAATATGTATGAACATCTTGTAAATCTATATTATCGAAACCATTTTGAAGCAAGCAGGCAACATTTTTTACACTTTTAAAATCATATATCAACTTAGTCAATTGATTGTTCAAACGTTTTTCTAATTTCCATTATGATTCCGCACTCTTGTAAATATAAAAATAAATAAATAAATAAAAATACGGGACTCATTATCACTTTAGATATTAAACAACATTTGAAATATTGAACATCACAATTACCAATGTACTGAATATTTAAAATCTATTGCTATTTTTTTTCACCCATATTGGTGCAATTTTCCCCAAAAACAATATTTTACATAACACTACTAAAATATACTACAGAGAATTTCAGACGAATTATTTTATCATATAATTATAATTACTACTCATGGTTCATATAAATTATAAAACAAACTTCTTTCTTTTTTTCTTAAAAAAAAAAATTGTTACTCTCTATATTTACATTAGTATTTAGTACATATTTAAACGTGTGTATAAAATAATAATAATAATAATAAAAAAAAACAACAGATATTACAATAAAAGTGAAGTTAGAAGTGAAACCAAACAGTAACACACTTATGAAATTTGTAAGTCCAACAAAGTTTTAAAATATGTGAAAATTTTATTTTATTTTTTATTATTTTATTAATTTTAATTATAAAATATTAAAATAATTAAAAGATCAAATTATCTTTTTCATCTTTATATATGTTAGGGTAAAGTACACTAACACCCCTTGAGGTTTGCTAAAAGGACACACAGATGAAACTTATCCCATTTTTGGACAATGACACCCCCTCAAGTTTGATACTTATACCAAAGACACCCCAATGATAATGAATTGACATTTTTGCCCTTTGACTTTTATATAAACCAATTTCAATATTGAAATTACCTATCTAACCTCCTCTGCAAACCCATTCTTTCCGCAATGTAAACTGAATACTCTGTATGAGATACTGCCAGTTCTGGAAATTGATATTGGTTATTTTCAGAAGAATTTTGGAATAAAGATTATATAATGAACTTCTACAGGTGATGTGTAATTCATAGTAGCAGCATCAGTGAATCACAAATTCAAGCTTGATACATGGTTTTCTCTTTACCTGGACCTTGCTGTTTGTTTTTTTATTTCAGTGATCACAGTTGTTTTAAGTATTGATGATTAAATTTAGCAAGGTTTGTAGTCATAACTGTCATATGTATCAAATTGCCAAGATTGAAATTGCATGGAAAAAGATTTGAGAAGACCTTTTCGGTTCTATTGTGCACAGTAAACAGTAAAGTTTTAGAGAGATCGGACAAAAATGGGATCTAAGGTTGGATATGGTTTTGAACTTCCTTTTTTTTTTCTTTGTTTTTTTTTTCTCCAGTCAGCTGTTAAATAAATGGTGCTGCTCATGAGTTTGTGCCTAACTCTGTGTGTGCTTTTTTTTCACCAATCAAATGAACCAAATTTAACTTCCAAGCTTAAATAAAAGTGACCTAACCAACAACGAGCTGGTGAGATATGACGAAGGACTGAATAGTTGTTGTCGTTATTGTGACATATCATTTGCAAGATTGAAATAGAATTTTTAAGTGGATTCATTGATCCACATAATTTTATAGGATTGGGAGAGCAATTTGTTCCATGCCATCTAGATGATGGATGATTGTTTCACTGATATTCGCTTTTGTTGCACAAAGTATACAACGTCCAAAAGTTCCTCTTTCCAACACCAATAGTTTACATTGCCGACGACGACCTCAAACACAACACCAATAGATCCACTGCTTTGAGCTCCGATTGGCCGACAGTGGAATCGCTTGGTGCCTTCATCTCTCTTCTTCATTGCCTATTATACCGGCGAGATCGTGGCGGTTGTCAAGTCCGACAAGAACGTTGAGACCTTCTGCGGCCAAGTAGCCGCCATCATAGTTAATGAGGGTGACGTCGGAACAGCCATTGCCGAAACGAAAGACGAACTCGACCAAACCAAATCGAAGGCCTCTTGTTCATCGTCATATTTGATTCACCGGTGCGATTCATCCCGTCGTAGCTTCTGCTGCCTCCTTGTGTTTGTATATACATATATGTGTATATAAAGTATTGGAAGGGTGAAGGGGCGACTAGTGTTAGCGCGGCAAGAGAATGCAGATGTTATCTCGCCACCACCGTACTCATCCTTCACCGGATAATTTCACTGACGGAGTATAGAGAGAGAGAGAGGAGGGGTAATTACAGGAAGGAGTAATATATATATATATATATATATATATATATTTGCACAGATGGGTATGTGTGTCTATATCGGTGTATAGAGAGAGAAAGGAGAAGGTCAATTAGGTCATTTAACTGTTTTTGATATTTTGTTATTAAAATTAATCAAATGATGTAGGGCAAATTAGACCTTTCACGCGTTTTTAGGCTATGTTTGGAACCAGGGGTGTCATTATCTAAAAATTGAATAAGTTTCGTCTGGGTGCCCTTTTGGCAAACCCCTCTCGGGTGTTAGTGTACTTTACCTATATGTTAATATAACCACACACCACCGCCACTGCCACTGCTCATCTCTTTTTTCTCTCCTCTCTCTTCCTCTCTCTCTCTACCAACGCCAAAGCCACACCCCCACCTCCTCCCACCACCATCACCGGCTAGAATCCCCATCACAGCCACGCCACCCCTCCCATCACCGCCACACCGGCAGCCGTCGAAGAGAGAGTGAGTTAGAGGGTTATAGGATTGCTGAATTTGGTGACAGCTGGCACCGGTGATGTATCTCAATCGCCTCGCCGTCAACTCCGGCACCAATCCGACCGCCATTCAACCAGGCATTTAGTAAAAGATCAAAATGAGGCGAAAGAAGGAAACAATTATTTTGGTTTGACTGCTACGGATTCTTTCCCAATTTAAACCATTGAAATTGCAATGGAGTTGGAAAGAAGTAACTGATCAAAATTTGAGGTTTTGGTTTGTTAAAGGTATAACAGATTATAAAATGCCTAAAAGCTACGAAATCCTGGATACTCACAATTAACATAAATGGAAACTAATTGCAGGCCTAGCCTGCTCTAGTGTGAATGAAATTGAGATTTTTTTTATTTTTTCAGAAAAGTAGAAAGTAGAATCTGAGAATCTTGTCGAGAAAGACCAACTGGTATAATTATCATTATCAGGGGTATTTAAGTTAATAAAAATGGTTATATTTATCAATTTTATATTAAGAGTAATATAATTAATTCATCATTGTAAGGGTATTTCTGTCCATTTAATCAAGTGTGGGGATATTATTGTCGAAAAACCAAATAACTTTTACTTGCGTGCGCTTTTGGCAACGGTATACTTTACCTTTTATGTTTTTATTATTTTATACACACTCGTTTCACACAAGGAAAATGAAAGGGTCACTGTTAATTTTTTGAATAAACCTCGTATTTTTTGTCCACCTCACTTATTTTAATAATTTTAAAAAATATATTATTTAAGATAAGTGTAGCCAATCACGGTTAAATTTGAACTTATTCGGATTCCCTGTCGTTACTCTTCACACAATTGTCACACACAACACGCGGTTTTGAGCTGAGCAGAGCAGAGCAGGGTTGAAGAGCGAAGCATGAATGCCCCTGATCGTTACGAGCGATTTGTTGTCCCCGAGGGCACAAAGAAGTAATCACTATCTCTCTCTCTCTCTTTCTCACTCTATATACGATTTATACATATGCGCTCACCTCTTTCCCGTTTCAATTATTAGGGTTTCGTATGAAAGGGACACGAAGATTATAAATGCAGCTTCGTTCACAATCGAAAGGGAAGATCACACAGTCGGCAACATCCTACGCATGTACGCACTGATTGCTTCCATAATTTCTGTTTTTTTTGTTCGATTTAGATTGCTTAAAACCCTAATCTTAAACCCTAGTTGTTGTTTGATAATGCACACAGGCAATTGCACAGGGATGAGAATGTCCTCTTCGCAGGATACAAGCTTCCTCACCCTCTGCAGTACAAAATCATCGTTAGGGTTAGTACTTTCCAATCTGTAATCATAATTGTTATCTGGTTGAGGAGGTGGCTGATAGGGAACGATTTAGGGTTTTGGGTTATTTTTGTAGATTTAAATATAGTATGTGTATTGGAATGCCTTTATGTTTTTCTTCCCCTATCTCTTGTTGCATGTGTTGGTTGGGTGGAATCAATTATTATGCTTTAATACAGCAGCCTGTGGTCATCTAGGCAAATGCAAAAGTTTTTGATCGTAAATTGCTAAATGTCCGAAAAGCAACATAGAGATTAGAGCACCAATTTTTCAAGATGTAGGAACATTGTACTGAATACATTATGTGGAAACAAATAATATAGGGAAGGGAGAAGCTTAAATCAAGTAACAAGGGAAGAGAACAGAAACAAAAAAAAAAAAAAGTGGCCATTTCTGGGGATGGTCTGATTATCATCACATGGATAATGATGCTGGAAATGGTTTGATGATCATCTATGATGATGACATGCATGCAATGCAAATTAAAATGAGAGAACTCTTGCTGTAAGCTCGTGCTATGACGAGAGCATTACTTGTACTCTTATTCATTGAATTGAATATGTGAGGTCGGTAGAACACCTGATCAAGCGAGAGTGTCTTCATTGTAACATTTTTCTTTTATTTATAAGTGAGTTAGTTTTATTTGATGTGATGATTTGACGCCATCAATTCATCTTATCAAATAACATGTCTAATATACTGTCAATTTTGTCATCTATATATGTGTGTGTGTACTTATCAATATATATGTGTGTGTGTGTGTGTGTGTGTATTTAGTAGTAGGGAGTTTATCACAAATTTAAGATACCAGAGGCATCTGTCAGTAACAGATTGGTTAATTTGGTTCTGTATTTCAAGTGGGAAGTCAAAGCAATTGTCTTGTTTGATTGTAATCTGTTCATTAAGTGGAGTAATACAGAATTGGTCTAAAAACATGCAGCTCAACTAACAGAGGATGGTGATTCAGAATATAGAATTAGAATGAAAGTTGAGGGATATTCTTCAATCTGCTATATATGATTTGAAAAAAGAAAAAATCAAAAGACTTTGAGGAGGCCAAATTAGACTCATCTGGACTTGGAACGAATTTTTAAAAAATTATATTAGTCCACAAAAAATCGAGTTAAGACTAAAATTGACCTGTCCAAAAAGAAGGGAAAGAAAAAAAGAATTCAGGATCAATTAGAAAAGTTACAATCATATGAAGCAGAGCATCCCAGGCTTAGATGACTGATACCTTCTTTTATTCACCTAATGGGAGAGATTGTTCTGAGCTTTTGTTGCTCCCCTTCTCCGGAGTTGTTTGTTCAGTTCTCACGAGTGCTAGTTCTGATTCCTTCCTTGTTCTTCACACTCTTTTATATATACAATAATATATATATATATATATATATGCATATGTAGATCTCCTACTCAATTCGTACAGGTATTCCACACACTCTTTCTCTATCTCTAAGGTCTCGTTTGGATTGAGGGATTTGGAAAGGGAAGGATAGTGAAAAGGTTAGGTTTTTGAGTTTAGACGTCTGTACATTTGTGGATTGATCTCTGTATAATCTTTTTATGCCCTTTTCCAATATCATTTTGAATTTTCTTCTTGTGAAAAATGAGCCCTGTTAGTGGGTGAGAAATGAAGGAAAGTAATGAAGACATAACTGTGAATATTATGCTCTCTGAATAATGACAACTTGATCAATCCAGTTAGTTGCTTGCATCATCAGGTTTACAGACGCTAATTCCGATCCACGAAATATGCCAACCTAAGCCCTGTTGATCTAACAGAATCAATAGTGACTACAGTTTTTTTAATCATTATCGGTAGCAATGCTAATTTTTTTAAATTAATAATTTACAATTCAAAAGCTAAACACCACAAGAATGATATCAAATAAAATAATATTGGAGAATCATCATCATGTTGATCTAAAAGACACAAAGCACTATATTTTTAAATGTTTCTTCTAATTCCAAGTTGTATTTGATTCTTATGTATGGTTCAACTGTTACTACTAATTAGATTTTCCGCAAAGTGAATCATTTCAGACTAGAGGAAAATTTGGCATGCCATTTGAGAGCTCCCATTTTGTTCAAAAAGTTGCCCCCTTTTAGTTTCTACTTGTTGTGTGTTCCAGTGGGTGGGGCCCGTGGGGGATTGAGGTAGTCCAATATGCCCTGTCTAGTAAAATAAGCATTAAAATGGCAACTTAAGTTTGTTATATGAATAATTTACTTTTAATTGAAACTAAATTTTTTAATTGAGTTGTTAAAAGTTATTGAAGGTGATTATAAATGCCTTTTGATATATATTATGTCCTTTATAATTCATGTTGACATAGCACAAATTTGTTCGTAGTCTAGGGAACTTTAAACCATTGGATGGAATCAGGTCAGACATGTTAATTAGAGTCTGTTGCAATCCTTGACTTTGGTTACCTTTTTTCCTTGTCAGTTTGGGGTTATAGAAGCCAATGAGCTAAGTAAGAATATAAAATATGTCTCATTTTTGCAATATGGTGATTTTATTTTGACTAGTTTGATGGGGTTTTGCAGATTCACACAACTAGCCAGTCTTCACCAATGCAGGCGTATAATCAGGCCATTAATGATCTAGATAAGGAACTCGATCATCTAAAGAATGTATTTGAGGTGCGACTTCTCTTGTTTTACAACCTAATCACAACTATTCTATATGTCATTATTACTTTTATATGCTCACATTTTCTTGGTTTAGTGTTTTCCTCAGATGGGGAACTTAGAAACATCAATTTTTATTTATTTATTTATTTTTCAGAAGGGGTTGATAAAAATCCTATTTTTCTAATTTTTTGACAAGGGGTTAATCTAAATTTGTGATAGCTCTGATAAAGGCTTGGAATGGTGAACATAGAACTTAAGTGTGCTTGCGGGCCAGAACCATCATAGTTGTATCAATTTTGTTCTGCAGATAGATTTTTAAAATTTTCTTTCCAGTATTCTGTTTGGCAACATCTTGATGAATTAACATTCCTTTCACGACTTATACTGCTTCAATCTTATTAAATGGTAATAACTTGTTAGTTGTACGATAACGTGTTGTGATTCGGATGACTTGATTACTCCATTTGTTGTACTTTGGACTATAGTTCTTTATGGTTGACTGACATACCAGTCAGCTAAAAATAAGATTATTTAAGTGCTCTGGCCTGAACTGGATGCATTTGCACTTTCAGTGATCTTTGTTGTAGAAAAGAAAACATCATCTCATGTTTTGTTTCCAAAAGCACATCATCTTATATCCTGCTCATGTCTTGTTTCTAAAAGCCCAAATGATTGTATCGTTCTCAATTCCAAGTTCTAACTCTGTTGAAATTTTGTTTGTAGGCAGAGGTAGCGAAGCATTCAGGAGGGGGATACTAATCTGACTAGGCAGTGATGTAGTACTGGCAGTTTGTGCGCAAATGGAGGGTGTGAGTTGTCTGATAGAACCTGTAGGTGTGTGTTGTTTGTTAGAGCTTGCTGTGGTGAATTATGATAATCACTGATTTTGGTTTGAAATGTAAAGGATGCTTTGGAGCAATTGCTTTTCCCTGCAGGTGGTGTTATTCTAGAATTATTCGAAGAGTTGGAATACCTAGCTATTCTTTCTTCTTCTTCTTTTTATTCCTACTTTCCATGTTATTTATTTATTTATTTATTTTTCTTCCATGGATTAGAAATCACTGTTTCAATTAGTTTAAAGATCTTGATGGACATGCATGGAGAATGATCATGTTTGAGGTTGCAGTCAGCAGCAACTCATTTTATTCTTAATGGATGTTTATTTGTTTCCATAAGATGATTATTGTTTGTTTAGGCTAGCCCTGATTGGTGTTTCAATTTCTTGTTGTTTATATATATACATATATATATATATATATATGGGAGATTCTGTATATGGTATGAATTTGTTCTTATGATTCATAATTTGGCCTGCCCACTTCATCTTCTATCTCCTATTTGTAGTTAAATGACAAGAAGTACAGACAAAATGAAAGAGTGTAATCAGAAATAGCTGGGAGTTGACTTGGTTTTTTGTCTACTACGCATGGCCTAAATTTTATCTACTTCTTTTTTTTTTTGATAAATAAATTGTATCTACTTTTATTATGGTGATTTGAAATTTGTTATGCAGATTGAAAGCCATTTAGTTATTTGTCCTATCAAGTGAAATTTCTAGACACTTCAATGTGTTCCAACACCATGTGTTAGCCTTGACATGCTTAAAAGATATTGTAGTGACCTTGGAATGGCGGACAAGATTGATTTCGGGTTGCATTTTTTTAACTTAACAAAAACCTGTCTTAACTTTCATTATTATTATTATTATTTTTGTTAAGTTAATATTATTGAGCATATACATCAATACCTTTTAAATGTTTGTCAAAAATATTAACATCTTTTTATAAATGTATATATAAATAAATATATAATTATTAAAGGGCAGATTGGGAACTTGGAATAAATGTTGAAACCTAATTTAAATGTTTTGAAAAATGCTACTACACAATACACAGGGACGCTACAGCAAAAGATCCATTTTTCTTCTCATTTTGTTCCTTAAAAAAATTAAAAGGAAAATAAGCATTTTTTTTTTATTTGAGAAACTGTTTCTATTTTTTAAACGGTTTTGTTTCCAAAAGAACAGTGATACATTTATCGAACCAAACAACCGAAAAATTCACCGAATCCAACGTGGTTATGTCAAGTAATACGACTAAAATGATCAATTTGTCCTCTCTAATTATTACTCTGATCTGGTATCTTAATTTCTTGCACCCCTTTTTTATTTGCATCTAAATTTATACGCCACAAATTCGTGTAAATTCGTTTTCAGGTGAATGAGAAATTAGCTCCAAAGTGTGGTGTTTTGATAAGCCTAAATAGTTATGCAAAATGTGAGAAATATTTGTCCCATATGGAAAAAATGTTGAAACCAATTGAAATTTAAATAAACCAGATTTGGGCTTGGGCTTGGGCTTGGGCTTGGGCTTGGGCGTAATTATAAAGTCCGATTATTCTTTTTACTAAATGGAATTTTGGATTGGGCTTTTATTTTGGGCTGGGCTTATTTAAATAGGTGGTTGGTTTTTGAATTTAAATTAAAAGTTAATTTTTTTTTTTTTTTTTTTTTTTAAAGGGTTGTATTTGTTTCCAAAGGGTTGCATCTATTTTCTAAAGAATTGCATCTGTTTCTAAAGGGTTGCAACATATTGGAGTGGATGTGTCTATTGGTGAACAAACACCATGTGAACCATTGTAACCAATTGGAATGGTTGTGTCCAATGATGAAGAGACACATATAAATGGTTGTGTCCAATATGAATAGACACACCCAATCCGAAAAGGCACCTTACTTAAAAAACTACTTTTTAATTTTTTTTAAAGGGTTGCACCCACCCGAAAAGGCACCTTGTTGCCTATAAATACCCCCTTTGGATCATTTGTAAGTTGTTCATTTTTCATTTTCTTCTATCTCCCTCTCTAGACTTGAACCCAACCAAAGTGGGTTCAAGCCATGGTCAAGTCGTCTGAGCCACTTAGGCCTAAAACTAATTTCATTAAGCCATATTAAATTTGGTCCGAGCCATTTGGTTCGAATTGCACCCAATTCATTATTTATATAATATAGATGCATTTTTTAGTCAAATAAAGTACTACACAGAGGAGGTTCGCCGTATCCACTAGTTTGTAGTACTGCTAATGGTGGATGTAAACCGTTGTATCCTGGGAGATAAACGCCACTGAGTTTGTTAATCCATAGCGGGGCGAATCTGACTTAAGGACATAGTATATAATACTAGCCTCGGGCCAGGTTCTTATTTATTATTATTAATTTATTACTTTATTTTGCATATTTAATTAAATATAGAGTTGCATATTTAATTAATGATTTTTTAGTATATTGTTAATTATCTCATGACATATTAGTATAAGGTTTGTTATATCTTAAATGTAACATAAATTATATATTTACCAATAATCTTAAGACAGAATCATTTCTTACGTAGATTTTATTATATGCTTCTATTTAAGATATAAACAGGTAGAGATTATACTAATAATTGAGATATAATAAAATAATGTTATATATACTATTATATGATAATATGTTAAATATTGATGTGTTCAATATTATTATATTGGTTAAATTATTTTAATTTTGTAATATGATGTAGTATATTATATTATCTTAAATTTGTATCAACAAGAGGTCGAAAGGGCACTTCGTTAGTTTTATCAATGATTGCATAAGATACTGCTATGTATATTTGCTACGAAACAAATGTAAAACCTTATAAATGTTTTAAACATTACAAAAATGAGGTTGATAATCAACTTGGCAAAAAAATCAAGGTGGGGGGAATTTTTGTTTTTTGCAAATTATATTCTCAATAAAATACCTTAAAAGAAAACAAATGTGACACCATATGAATTATGGAAAGGTCGAAAACCTTTCTAGAAATACTTATAAATGTGGGGGGTTTCGAGTCGTAAGAGCTTCAGGATAGAACCAAAAATCATTTATAGTATTATAATAATAGTGCATGTTGTTTCATATGAGGAAAATATTATGAAATAACTAGAAGAGCTCTTTTTCCAGCGGAAGAGCTGAGTTATTTGTTCTAATTGAAGAGTAAAGTGTGCAAGCTTATAAGTCCTTGAGTGCATTAAAGCTAGTACTAAGACACTGACATAAATGTGATGTATAAGTCATTGTATGTCTTTAAATAATAATAATAATAATAATATACTAATTAGTATATTTGATATGAAAGATTTAACATCTGATAACATAGTATGTTCTCAATAGAGTGAAATTGAGATAATACTAGTTATGTTAACAAAAGCGTAGCTAACTTTTGTAGATGTAAATCTCAAATATAAATACTAGTCAAAGTATATCATTGGTTGAGATTGCAAAGCATCTTAATAACTGTGTTTAATTGCACACTTGCAATCCAAGATAGGATCACTGAAAAACAATAAATTGTGTAGTTGAGATACACCTTAAGTCCAATATTATATAGATCGAGGTATCTAAATAAATTGGAGGTATAACAGTGATGCAATCTGGATGTGGGATATTAAAGACTTCTAATCCAATAGTGAATATGTCTTTAATATTAAAGGTGTAGTTGTATATTCTTAATATAACTCAAAGTTAGAAACTTTGAATAAATCAAATATCAAATAGAAAAGTTAATAGACTTTACTTAGAGGACATTTCAAAATAAGTCTATACCTGTGCCACTAAAGAAAATGATATTGCTAACAATAAGCAATTTAGGGCACAAAGTATATAGTTGCTCTCAACTGGAGAAATCTCTGCAGAGTGTAAAATTTCTAAACATAACCTTGTGGCCACATATAAAATTGAGGGTTGTACTAGAGAGTAATTGTACAGATCATCGAGGGGAATGGGATTAAAAGCCGAAAGCTAACGAGTCACCTTAATAGAAACCCAACCTAGTTGACTGGAGATCCCAAGATCTATGTTCAAAGGGATAACAGAAATTCTGAGTGACTCACCAGAAGCACTGGGAAGATATAAATCTTCTGTCTATTTCTATGATGAGACAGTGCTACCTACAGCGAGGATTAGGATAAGCTACGGTTTTAATGACTCTTATACCTTGAAAATTCAAGTGGGGTATGGTAGGATACTTTTAATAAGAAGTCACCTATATGAGTGTCAAGTGGGGTCGCTTTATGAGAACTATAAAGGCTAAGTTTTCTAGAGCACTCATGAATACCAGGAGTTGTTCAGGGCCAAAATGAACATAATAATGAGAACCAACTTTGTGAGGAAGGGTACTGTGTGTTTGTTATTGTCTTGGTTTACATAAACGGCTGAACAGTTCAAGACATCGCGTTCACTAGTTAGCTAGTAAATCTGATAGCAATACACTAGGGAAGGTTCAAAGTCAAAAGCTGCCTATCCTAATACTGTAACTTTCCGACTATTCTATCTCTAGTGTCTGCATGATCATCTTTTGCATTTAAGCAGTCAATTTCCATTCATGTGGGGGATTGTTGGAAACGGGGCATTAAAAACATAAACTTTGGATGAGATTTGGAATAGATTCTGCTAAGAATTTTTTGCGGATCTCTAGATGAGCGTGTTTCTCTCCGCAAGGAGATAAACGTGGTATATTTACTTTCTCAAATTCGTTTCTAGGTGAATGAAAAATTAGCTCCAAAGTGTGGTGTTTTGATAAGTCTAAATGGGTATGCAAAATGTGGGAAGTGTTTATCCCACATGGAAAAAATGTTGAAACCAATTGAAATTTAAATAAGCCAGATTTGGGCTTGGACTTGGTCTTAATTATAAAGTCCGATTATTCTTTTTACTAAATGGAATTTTAGATTGGGCCTTTATTTTGGGCTGGGTTGGTTTTTGAATTTAAATTAAAAATTAGTTTTTTTTTTTTTTTTTTTTTTTAAGGGTTGTATCTATTTCCAAAGGGTTGCATCTGTTATCCAAAGAGTTGTATCTGTTTCTAAAGGGTTGCAACCTATTGGAGTAGATGTGTCTATTGGTGAACAGACACCGTGTGAACCATTGCAACCTATTGGAGTGGATGTGTCTATTGGTGAACAGACACCGTGTGAACCATTGCAACCTATTGGAGTGGATGTGTCTATTGGTGAACAAACACCCTGTGAACCATTGCAA